TCGGAGCATTTCATCGGTGCTAAATTATCGTTTGGTTCAAACGAAAATTCCATTACGAAACGACTAAAGTTTACATTTAGTTTAAGTAGGTATCGCCTTTTTGAAAAATGTTTCGAGACGGGTTTCGGGATAGAGCGTACGTGTAGATTCGGTGAAAACCCGCCTGGCGACGCTACTCAACGAGGTCTGCGTAGAAAAATATGTATACATATGTACATACATATGTATGCCGATGATCCAGTCGAACGGCTGACGATCCCCTTCCCCTAACAAAATACCGTATTTTAAAATGTTTCCGTCCTCCTGTTCGCTTCCAGCGACCCGTGCATCTGCAGCGAGCTTTCTAACCGTATCCGAAACTCTGTACTATACCTATAGTAACCCACGTAATCGGGTTACTCAGGCACGATATGCACGATGACACGCAGAAACACGGTTTACCCGCTCTGGGAGCAAGTTGCAGAATCTTGGTCGAAACTATGCAGCGTTGGGCAAAAAGGCGGTCGACGAGCGGGCAACGACTACCTTTCTAATTCAAACTATGCACCGTTCATTACATTCCATTTTCTACAACGATCTTTCTACAATTGCGTTTCTCACAAAAATAGTTTTAACAACGAACCAACGATTATGAAATTTTCATAGATGTAAGATACGACGCAAACAATATTAGAAATGAAATTACACATGACATTTCATTACCAACGAGTAAGTTATTTCTAGCCCCTTGTTTTATACGTAACAAGGGGTATACCCGAACCGAGTAAACATAGTAAAAGTGTCTCGAAAGCAAATTGAATTTGGTATCTAGCAATCGATAGGCCTCTCGAAGAAAACATTTCTTGCCAACTTTCAACCACTGATACATCTTCCTAATAAAACACGCGGGCTGTAAACAATTAACTAAATTGTTCGTAATTGATCGTTCGTAAATAATGGAATTTTTGGATTGATTAAAACGGTACGTATAGAAAATTTATAAAGGAATAAATCTGATAAAAACGGTGAAATCGGTGAATTGGTAAATATATAGGAAAAATATAGAAAATTGTTTGGTCGATAAAAAATGGAAATTACAAAGTTATTTATTAATGTAAGATTTAAGAAAGAAACGTCACGCTGATAAGCTATTATTATCCATGTCTGCTTCTAATCCGTTCCATGAGGGTGTTAACCTGCTTTTTCCCAGTGCTCGAGGATGTCGATTCTTGGTTGGTACGGGTTACGCTAACGCTAAAAGCTGATAACCTGGATTTTCACTCGGGTTAGGCACTGGGTAGAATCTCCGATCCGCAGCAGTGCGATCACGTTTTTATCCGACCGGCAACGAACGTACAAAATTAAAAATGGACATTTGACCGAACTACGGCTCGCTTGAAATAAAAACGAGAATAACAGACGACGGAAATGTACAACTATTCTACCTTGTGATCCGAATTATTTAATTTATTTATTGAAAGCGTTCAAATCACACGTAAGTACAGTCGATGAAAAGAAACGCTATAAAAACGTTTGCAAAATATTGCGCGTCTATCGTAGCTACTCATCAGGTACGTACAAACGGACGGATAGAAATTTAAAATATGTACATCGATCGAGCTTTCTAATGTCGCGTAATCGAACGGACAACGTTACCGAACACACAGATAATCGCAGTTATGGTAGTCGCGCGTTCCAAACGTATTAAATAAAAAAAAACGATAGATTCGACTTAAAATTCCGGATCGGTAAACCGTATATGTAGACGAGATTCCGTTTCTTGTATAGCGATGAATCGACGCGACGCGACGCGACGCGACGCGACGCGACGGTCGCGAGGGAAATTTATTCGAACCGATAGGAAAACGTTCAACTAGAAACAGTTTCGTTTAAACCGTTTTTTTCGTGATCAACGGAGCGGAATAATAACTGGCATTCTAGCACCGGCAGCCAGGAACAATGATTCCCATTGCAGTTTTATTTAAAAGCCGCGACCGGCCAACCGGTGGACCAGCATTGTTATCGCGGATAACCAGTGAACCGCGAATTCGTCGCGTGTTTCAATGCTCGCTTTTTCTGGGGCAATGTTTAAAGACTCCTTATGTGCATTGTTCGAACGATGGAAAGGTTCCTCCTCCTCTCTAGGTTATCGGGAACGAGAAATATGCTCGCGAGTACAAGGCAGCACGGTCGCTTATACAAAAACTTAAATACGAATGTTTTCGAATACATACCTACGTCGATATTTAAGAAATCGAGAATAAGGAAATAACATGTTTTTCGCTCGCACCTTTGTTTACGAGAAAATCGACTTTGAGTATTGTATGTAGAAGAAGCGTGCATTACGGTACGACTTTGATACCGGTACAAGTAGAAAGAGAGCGATTAATGGTCGGACGCCTCAGAGAAATTCTATTAAATTCCACGCGTATCGACAACAATGAGACATTTTCAAACGAAATATTCGCAAAAACAAACCCTCGAACAAAAATATATTATTATATTTTTCCATCTGATTTTTAAACGTAGAATCATCCCTTGGCCGGCCGACCGGCCGCCGGTTCTACACGATCTATATGTATACATATAGAATATAATTCTTAATAATATCACCGATTTGGATTTTGATTATCGAATAAAGTTTGGAATTACCGTCGAAGCACGGGAGAGGGAGCAAGTTATTTCGTCCTGATTTCGAAGAAAGCAAGAAGAATTCTCGGATGAAAAATACGAAGGTTGGAAAACATCGGGTGTACGAGCCCATTGTTTCCCCAGTGAACAGTATTAATTTCACCGGGTACTCGGCGAGGGGAAGCCGCGAGGGGTTGGCAGGACAGCGAGCAGAATGGACGAACAGAAATTTCCGAGCATCATTGTATTCGCGGGCAAACAAACTCCGCGTAAGCAGATCGCGCGGAGAGAGAGGCAAATTGGGTGCACGAACTCGATAATTCGCTTCTACGCGGAATTCTCTTCTTTCCTCTCTCGAATCTTTCTTCTATCTTTCTGCTTGCAATACTTTTTCCTTTTATTTATCTTCCAACGTTTCTTCAAAATGACTCTCGATGGAAAAAACGTATGTACATATGTACGTCTAGACTCTTGTATCGGGAGAAACTCTTTCGAGTAAAACGTTTCTGCATCGTTCTCGTTGCTTACCTTCTTCCATCTATGTACTTGCTTGTAAAAATATCAGACGCTCGTCAATCTCGGGAAACTGCGAGGATGATCTATTATCTTTCCTCCGTTAATATCTCGACGATCCGACGTAAAACGGAAGCGACAAAATAATTATCGAGCTAAAGACTTGTCTGGCTTTTGGAGAAGAAGCGCGGGATACAAGGCTGGAAGCAAATATCTTGCTGGTGCGATCCAAATTCATTATCCACGTTCCCGCGAGGCGAAGCATGGCATGGCGTGGCATAGCGTGGCGTGGCGTGGCGTGGCGTGGCGTGTGGCGCGGATAAACGAGGTGCCGCACAAGCCAACGTCGAAATGAATTCCGAAAGTAGAGCGTACGCTTATTAGAAATTCCTGGATTACTCTAGTGTACGCGTGGACCCGGTTTATTTGGACGGCGCAAGTCGACCGAGAGAGAAATTCGCGTAGAACTTTTGGCCAATGGACCGGCTCGGCGGCGCGGCGGCGCGGCGGCGTGGCGCAAGCAATTCGGAAATACCAAACAGAGTGAAAGTAGAGTAACCAGGCCTATGCTCGAGCAGCTTAAGAACGAGATATATGTATATGGTTTCATTAAAGGCCGGATTCGGCGTCGAATTCGCATGCGTTTTCGCATTTTACGTGCTCGTTTCTTCTCTCGACCCCACCGACCTTTTTCCCTACCTCTTCGAGAGGCTATTCTTCTTCCAACTATTTATACAGAATATAATACATTATCCATTTTATCCATTGCTATCTCTCGTTATACCAACTGTACAAGTTTTAGCCATTTCTCTTCTTTCGTAATTCGTCGTTAACGTGGATTAATTAAAACCTAAATTTCACAACACTATTGCAACAACAACATATGGAAAGGTGGTTGTTGTTGGTGTTACGAGTAACTTGGATTATGATTTTTTAAATAGCATTATCTGTAATACTATTTAAAATGAAATTAGTGTGGCATTTAACGCGATCAGGGCCGAATAGATTACTCGTAAAATTGTGCGTTGAAAATTGGTCGGGGGTAACCGGGCAATCGAGTTCTACATATAGACGCTTCGGTAAAATCATATTCGATAAAATGTAATTATCTTAAAAAGAAGGCGTTATACAAACTAATTTTATTCTTCGCTTTCGACTTGTATTACAGTTGTACCATAAATAAAGGAACATTCTGGAGGAGAGATAAAGTAACCGTTTCGAATGTGGAATGCAAAACTGGCGATAATACGAGTCCTGCTATTTGAAAGGATTCGCTGGAAATAAATGAGAAATAATTGTCATCTCGGTTCTTAAAAGTTTGTTCTCGTTTCTCGTCCCGATATTCAAGATACACGTGAAACGAGACCAGGCTTTCAATTTCTTAGAGAGTCGTTGTCGAGCGCGCGCGGATATACATACATACAATATTCGTGGAAATATCTCGAGAAGAAATATTTTCCAAGAACGAACGGTTTTCCAAGAACGAGAACGACGGTTCTCCTAATGGCTCGAAGACAACACGAATAGAAAGGTCTTGTCCTCTGAAAAGACTTTCCTAAAGAAGGAAATCTTGTCTCCTTCTCGGTATTTACTTGCTCGATTCTTCGAGAACGCGTTCCGACGTCTACAACGCCGGATTAAATTTCTCGTTCCTTTTGTCCGATTCTCGTTGAATTCGGGTCAGGTATTCCCGCGACTCTGTTCTAGAAACGATCGAATCGAGAATCCCGAGAAAATCCCTCAACGAAACGATCCTTTCGTCGAAAGAACAAAATTACCCGGTTACTTAAATAGGGAAGATCGCGTCGGATCTATCGAGCAATCGAATTTTTCACTTACGCAACCCTAAAGTTGATCGTTGACTCGAATTGTTCCAGCCAAGCGATGATCCGTGAACTGGGAATGTAGACGGAAGGGTGGGGAAAGCGGATCTGCCCCTCGCAGGATCGAAGGAAGGATCCTCCACCTCCACCTCCACCTCCACCTCCACCTCCGCCATCATCTTCGTCGTTACCTCATCCTCGAACAATTTCAACCTCCGCAACCACTTGGACACTGTAAGTATCGGGGACCATCTTTTTACCATCTTTTCTCTTTTAATCGAAATTCAGATTAATCCGTCGAGATCGTTTACCGCTCTACGTCTACCGTTCCTCCCTCTTTCATCCGTTTCTTCGATATAATCCGATCGCTAGATTTCAATGTCCAACATTACAAACTTTTCTTTACAAATAAACGAGAATAATGTAATGGTACATTATTTCCGCTACTACAAATGATTCTACAAAGATCGATAAGAAAATATTAATAGTGAGTGCTGTAGGTATCGATAATGGTTATTTGTTAAATTACCTAACCAAAGTAGGTATCTAAGATGATAGGATAATGGTAGGAAACCGCTTGAAACGATGGATCGAATAGAGAGAAACTGTGAAAACAGTTTGCGCAAATATGTACGCTATTCGATTTTCTTTCCAACTTGCAACTATGTACTTTGTTACTTTGGTAATTTTAAATAGGAAACCGAGTTAGTATAACTGCTGTTATTTCACAAATAACTACCGTGGCGTTCAAACCAGTAACGAACAGGTACTCGAAGCAGGAAATGGCAGCCTAGCCTTGTCTTTGATGTAACGTACCAACTCGCGAAATGTAATTTAGCCGAAGCAACTGCTCGATCGAAACAACCATTTCGCTATACTTAATTCTGACCACTGTATCCACATATGTATGTATACATATACGTATACGTATAGCGTACATACCTGTTAGCACGTAATCGAAGAAACGTGCGTGCCTAACCGAACATTTTAAACTACGATTTACAATAGTCTTCCATCTACCATAGATAGATTATTATAGTGAAATTGTCAGATAATCAAGTGGAAAGAAATCGATTGAAAAATTGGCAGCTCTTTATCAAAAGAATTGTACCGCAAGCACTTTTCGAAGCGATTTCTCTTTCCGAACGTATGTATTTTGTTCGATCTCATATCTCGGCGTATCTGAAAATCTCCCCGAGTTGGAGAAATGGCGCGCTATCGCGTTATCGAATGAACGCGAATTAGCATGACCGAAGAAGAGAGAAGAGAGCCGCGAAAACAAGTAACTAATTGGTCCGGAGCAAGGAAGCGAATCGAACTCTGAAATGAAAGCAGTCGGTCTAATTGGGACTCTCTACCGTGTACTATTCGTCACATCGCGCCGCCAAGGGGAGTGGATGGAGTCAATTAATGTCGCGTCTCGAAATGTACACGGTGTCCGTTTCCAATAATAAGGTTCCGTTCAACAAGACTCGTGGAAAAAACCGCCAACTTACCGTTCTAATAAATTTCATCGCATTAAATCTTCGTTTAGAAATTGCATAAACTGTTTGATTTCGTTGCCCCTCTTACATCCACGATTCTAGAAACGATTTTCTCCATCGAACCAGCCAACTTGAACCTTTGCTTTCTTATATGTCGTCTACTATTTTTACTCTATCCCATTCGATACGTGTACGTTCCATAGATCTCTACGGTTCTTTTAAACATATCTATCTATACAGTTTCTTATACATACTATTTTTCCATATTCTTGTTCCACGTAACAGCATTTTTACCGCGTTAAGTATGATTACGAATTGGGTGTTGGATTAACTCTAGAAATAAATAAACAAAGACATAAATATTAACGCGTTTACTGGGTTTTTCGCGATATCATGTCACGCGGTCACGATTTCAAGTCATTACGATCAAGCGGAATGAAATCTCGAGCCGTACCGCGTCGCGCCGGGAGAATCCCAACGGGAGTAGCCAGTAGTCTATTCACCTTGTTTAATTGTCCGACTGGAATTCTCTTACTTGCCGTCCTGTTTTTACCTATTCAAAATTATGCCAACTAATTTTCCATTACTCTTATTATAATAATAAACCTTTATTTTATTTTATTTAATTTCATTTCATTTATAATATCTTAATCGATCGTTGTCTGCGATAGGAGGATAATCCTTCTGATAACCGAAACAAACGAACGAACAAATAAACATTTACTTGACCAAAGTTGCTTTCTAAATAGAATCACAATAGTTTTGTGTTGAATTTATCCGATCGGGAGAGAGAGAGGTTGATTAGCACGACTCGTAACGCGAAGAATGCTCCTGGAACGAGCATTTCGGCGAATACATATATCGTAAAGCAAACCGAAGCGAACCGAACGGAAGCGAACCGAACGGAAGCGAAGCGAAGCGGAGCAAAGCCAAGCGGTGGATCGCGTGGAAAGCGAGTCAGACGAGGGCGGGTATCGAGAGAAACACGGAAAGAGTCTGGCAAAGAGCATAAATAAACGAGAGGTATAGCTGTATCGATCAGCCAGGATGAACCGCGGCCGCGGGCCTCTGGGCCGCGTGGTTGCCAGCTTCGATGTCCGGTTGTCCCGAAGGAACGCGCAACTCGCGGAAAAAAACAGCTCGAAAAGAGCCCTCTGTAACTCCGCCAGTACCGCACCGCACCGCACCGCACCGCACCGCACCGCACCGCACCGCACCGCACCGCACCGCACCGCACCGCACCGCACCGCATCGCATCTCATCGTAACCACATCGCCCTCTTGCACTCTCTTTTCTTTGCCAGAGTATGCCCGCTAATTGAATTTCGTGGCAGAAACGAGTCTGACTAGCGTCGTCTTTTTCCATTCGGTGCTTCTTATTCGTCTGTGCTTAATATCGATAGAAGGAGTACACTGATCTTGAATAAAACCAGGAAACGATTACGAAAAACACATTCTTGTCTCGACAAAATTTCAATATAATATTAAGTAGACGGCTGCTTGTATCGTATTGATCGATTTTCATAAATTTCTTTGTTACGGTGGTCTACTTTTCTCGAAATATTTCATACGTATAGGTACATGTACTATAACTCACTGTAAACATCGATTGAAATCAATTTACGATACTTGCGTTACAGCCAACATCAACTTTATTCATCCGAAGAATCGTAATTTTACAGTACGATTGTACTATACAAACTATCGTTCAAAGCGATCCATGGTTCAATTTTGTGTCGTAGCAGTTACATTAAGTTTAAAAAAGTAAAAAGTGGTGGCTCTAATTGTAAAATCGACACGGCGCGATATCTCACTCGGAGAAGCCGTAATATAGAAAGCCATAAAGACATTAACCTTTTCGGTATAGCAACGCCGCTCCGCTCCGCGCCGGTCGAAAAGGACCTATGCGGTTCTGACGTACGATTCGCGAAACGTTTATGCGGTTCGATCGTTCGAGCTGCCAACAACACGTGCCAAACTAATAATACGTATTTCATTATTTGGGATATACATATTTATTCTTTTCAATATCATTTAATATTTTCGAGTAAAATAGCATAGGAACTGGAAAAAAATAAAACCTAATTTGTTTGTTTTTTTTTTTTAATTTTAAAATTTTTTACAAACAATGTTTATTTAACGATCGAATAGAGCCACGTTCGTTCAGACAGTTGATACGATTTTACAAAAAATGGTAATGATTAGACTTGAAATTCGTTGCACGCATCGATGTATTTTTTTGTTAGAAGAAAGAACAAGTGTCCGAGGTAGTGGAAACGGTTTGTTAACGCATCGCTTGCTACTTCGATAACGATAACGTACGTTCTACGATAAATGTTTTTCAAGAGCAGTTGCTTTCGCTTTTGTCCAACTACATAGTACATATGTACTTACATATGAAACTGAATTTTTTACGAAGCTCATACGTCGCCGACGCCGAAGAGTTTATCGGTCGTTGCATGATGCTGCCATCGCGACAAGTGGGACAACTACTACTAGCTGTTTGCAGTGACTTGATGTCGCGATCTCTGTATCTCTCTGTACCTCGATGAAAAGGCACCTCGCACCGTGTACTCGAAACTTGTTCTTTCTATATAGTATATGTATAACATATCGGTGTGAATGTGCATCGAAGGGAGTAGGGTTTTTAATTTTAATCGGGCCTGGGTAAGCGTGGCAGTGATCCTGGAGCAAACGGATCGCATTCGTAAAAGGAAACAGTGATTCTTCTCGACGAAAGCGTCGCACGATTGCGTGCGAGCTTCACTTTTGGTGAGTCTAACAATACCAAGAAAAACAAACGGAAAACTAATTGTATCGTAATTGCGTATGCAATATCGTTGAACGACATCGATGATTTTTCCAAATAATCGTCCGTTTTTTTCGCGGCACGATCTATCGTTTTTTCGAGTACAGTTTGAAAAGATCAGTCAGTTTCCTTTCCCGGTGAGTTAATTACCGAATAACCGACCGCTCGACGATAAATCATAATTCCCGACGACACTAATACCCTGTTGTAAAACGCTGTTCTCTCACGAACGCTTCCGCGTGTAACACCTCGTCTCGTTGCTACGTGCAATCGCGCGCGCCTGACCATCGCTTCACACAACCGAACACGTAGGAAATGACCAATCAACGCGGACCTTCGTATACATATAACTGTACGATATACATATGTATGTACGTATTTCCTTCTGACGTGTGAAAGATGCAGAGCACAGCACACAGCGCTAGTAATCGCTGTCCAATGAAACGATAACCGGAATTACGAACACTAGTACTTACGAGAAAGAAGATTTTTGCGACGAGAGAAGCGTGAAAAGGTGAAAGATAGAAACGCCTGGTTCGGAATATAAATTTCGAATATCGACGATGCGAGTAAACGTGTAACGTAATTATTGTTAGCAGAGAAATGTATATTTCATTTATTTCCGTAACGTTTTAAACCGATAGGAAAAATTCGTAAGGTTACGTTATCAACGACACGTTTAAAGAAACGAAAATCTCAATATTTTGTCCGTCAAGGTTTTAGGTAAGTACTCGTGCCGGCCAGTAAACAGGACTGTTTAACCGATCATATTTATCCAAACGAGAATTACTGTTCCAACCTTGCCGAAACAATTCGGAACATTATAGCGATTATGTACATATAATAGATGTGTGCTAGAACGACGTTTCGGTTATCAGGCTTACCTTGGGATTTGAACAAATTTATGAGAAAACGGATATCTTTCTATTTCTTTTCGATAGGTTCGCTCCTATAAAATCGCCAGCTCGTTGGTTAACCGTTAACGTACGAAGGTAAATTGTTTCGCAGAAACGAACGAGCGCATTAGCGAACGTAATCGAGAAAAAGCCAAACAATTTCTAAAACATACATATGTATATCGTTTCGTAAATATACGAAACTTGTTAAATATGGTAGATGAGATGTTGGAGGTGATGTTAGATATAGAGGATACGTAGGAGAGCGAAAGATGCTTCTAATTGGACGAATAAACGATGGAAACTTGATCGGTGAAAGCAATAGAACAACACGATACGAGCTAGACGTCCTCGAACAAAAGACAACACCACATTATCTCCAATTATGTAGTCGAATGGCGGGGCTCGAATCGATTGCAGACCGAGGCGCATCCCCGAGCCAACTTTGACCAAAGAAAGCAACAATCGTTTCCGAACGATCTGTTTGGTACAAAGAGCTTGCATCGGAACAAACCGTCGCCCCGCCGTCGCCCCGCCGTCGCCCCGCCGTCACCCCGCCGTCACCCCGCCGTCACCCCGCCGTCACCCCGCCGTCACCCCGCCGTCACCCCGCCGTCGCGTCGCGACACGTCGCGCGTTAAAGTGGCCCAAGTACTTACTTACTTACTTACTATCCGTTTGCCCGGAGTTATCTGCAAAGTGCTCGATTCTCAATGTGCATTTCAGTTATGTATTTCGAGACAGGCAGTTTCACCAAGAAAACAAAAACAATTACTTACCGTTCGAGACTGGCTTAGCAAGCTTTACGAATCTGGAGGTCCTTGATTCTCGGCATTTTACTCGAACCGTTATAGGACTAGACCGATCACGCAAATCTATCGTTTTCATCAAAATATATCGAGATATCAAAATCTTGATGTACATCGTTCTATACATATATTATACATATGTACATATGTGCGCGAATGGTAAGTATGAATTCGAATCGTAGAAATGACTAACTTTCAAAGTGGAAGATCATCCATCGAATGTATCGTTTTATGATTAAATTAAAATTAAGTACGTATAATATAGATAACGGATAAAAATATTAGATATTCGATAGAAACCGTTAAATAAGTACGAGTCACGCGATAGTCAGCAGCATCACTGCCGACCATCATCAAATCTGTAAAATATTTCGAAAAAATTGGTGACTACGGAAGACGCGTTAGGGAGAAAGGATGCAATGTAATACGGTGTTTCAGGCGAGGACACGATGCCGATAAACCAAAGTTCCTTGGCAAAATTCAAAGCCCTGATGGTGCTCAGCTTAACGGTGCTTATCCACCTGAACGTCTGCTGGTGTTCGCCGTCCCACAGGAGTAGACACCACGCGGACATGTCCCACGAGGATGCGAAAGGTTTCAGAACGAGCGAAGAACTACCGAGGCCGGCCGCCCTCAATTCGAACGACGATCCGTTGGTGGTCGAGACCAAGAAAGGCAAGGTCATGGGCAAGACCATGACTGCTACCACTGGAAAGGAGGTCGACGCCTGGTTCGGAATCCCTTACGCGCAGAAACCTCTCGGTAGGTTCAAACTACTCGATCTAATTAACCATTAAACGGAGACGGCGCGGCGCGGCGCGGCGCGGCGCAACGTGGCGCAACGTGGCGCAACGCGGCGCCGCGCCGCGCCGCGCCGTGCCGGAGTGTGTACCGGGGTGTACGCGTGTCGTTTCTCCGTTTCTCCGTTTCTCCGTTTCTCCGTTTCTCCGTTTCTCCGTTTCTCCGTTTCTCCATTTCTCCGTTTCTCCATTTCTCTCCTCTGTCCCGAATACCAACATTTCTTCCTCGAACGTTCTATACATACACCGATTACTTTAAAACGTTCGCGGACAATTCATCACGCTAATGGCTGAATATCTGCAAAACATCGAGGCCGAACCATACTTTTCCATTTATCCGACCCGGACGAAGTTAAATAGAAACCAATCGATACAAGTTAAAAACCTTTGTTATTTCTTATTAGGCAATTTTTCATAATATAGTATTATCGGTGAGTTAGTGGGATGTTGTTGATAAAAATAACACCAAAGACGGTCGTGTTTTAATCGGCAAAGCTTGTGCAACTCGATAAAAACCAATATAATGCCAATATATGTATGTAGATGGTAGGAGTACGTGTGAGGAACGAATCGAACGCAATGAGGGGGTTGGCTTCTGTTGCAGGACCTTTGAGATTTCGACATCCGAGACCGGCGGAGCGGTGGTCGGGGATTCTGAACGCCACGCAGCTACCAAATAGCTGCGTGCAGATTCTGGACACAGTGTTTGGCGACTTCTCAGGCGCGACTATGTGGAATCCAAACACTCCTCTGAGCGAAGATTGCCTTTACGTGAACGTGGCCGCGCCACGGCCTAGGCCTACCAATGCCGCTGTTATGGTATGGATATTCGGTGGTGAGTTCCAGCTGACACCTGTTTCGCTCGACCCATAGATGTGAGACTCGATTCTTACGAGAATTATCCGCGATCACTTAACAACGCGTTACTTACAACCTATAATAAATACACTAAATCCGATTTAATTAAGAACGCGGTTGAGAATATTAACGAAAGGTCGTTTCTCTTTCTATGTTTCTGAAATTCGCTCGTTCAGAGGAATCGTACGATGAACGCTATTTTCATCGGACCAAACCGGTTGGAAGTACCTTTTAAAATGGTTTTAAACTTTTCTGATCAACGTATACGATGTACATATACATAATACGTTGGCACGCGTTCCGTCTCTCGAATGGAGGAACAAGTTGTCATGGCATTAAAGATTCAAGTCGTGTCCGACCTGACTCACGCTCGAGAAAGGAATCTCGAGCAACCACCGATGTTCCTTTCGTTCCCATTATGAACGTTTCATCGCGCCGCACGATGATGTCGATGTCGATGTCGATGTCGATGTCGATGTCGATGTCGATGTCGATGTCGATGTCGGTTCGATTCTTTTTTCTTTTCTTTCACGCGTAAACGTACACACGATTATTTCCGTGGAAGAAAAGGCGGCATTAAATCCACCGAAAAAGTCTCTAAATGTCTTTGACGCGTTCACTCGCATTAATTTATCGCATAAATTTTTAGTCGAGAAATTTAGGCAAATAATGAATTATCGATTGGAATATATGTATGTATCGTCCAGAAGGTTCGTAAAATAAGCACCGTTCAAGAGTGACATTGAAAACCGGTAAAGAGAAATAGTGAGCGAGGAGACGAGACTGTCGCTTCGCGACGCGACATTAATTTACTCTCGATTGCTCGCATACACGGTCTATTTCGAAACCTTCCCTTCCCTCCCCTCCCCTCCCCTCCCCTCCCCTCCCCTCCCCTTCCCTTCTTCTCTTTTCCTCTTCTTCTCCAATTTTGTTCCTTCTTTACTCTTTTGAGAAGAAAAGGAGAAAGAGAGAAGGATAGTGTGTGTGTGTGTGTGTGTGTGTGTGTGTGTGTGTGTGTGTGTGTGTGTGAGAGTCGAGATGGAATCGCGCGACATCCTTGTAGGTGGATTTTACTCCGGATCGGCGACCCTCGATGTTTACGATCACAAAACCTTGGTGTCGGAGGAAAATGTGATTCTGGTCTCGATGCAATATCGAGTCGCCAGCCTGGGTTTCCTGTACTTTGGAACGTCGGACGTACCTGGGAATGCCGGTCTGTTCGATCAACTGATGGCCCTTGAGTGGGTCCGCGACAATATCGCTGCGTTTGGCGGAAATCCAGACAACGTGACCCTGTTCGGAGAGAGCGCGGGCGCCGTATCCGTTTCTATGCACCTACTTTCGCCTCTGTCAAGGTGCATACCTTTTTCTCCTTAGTCAGTTTACAGTCTTTTGCTCTTGCTTGCCAAATTGTCATTGCCTGATGATATGCCATTTCCGCTACCGATCATAAGCTTCGAGAGCTCTTGTAATTCGTAACGAGCTTGTAATTTCTTGTAACTTCCAATAGGAAAAAGAAAGAAGGTTTTTCGAAACGTATGAGCGGTAGTAGGGGTACACGTGTAACGATCAATGATCGGTCTCGATTCTCGGACGGTGGGCCGAGCTTGGACCAGAAACACCGACGCGATGCACATTGTTACGTTTCAGGCACCTGTTTAGCCAAGCCATCATGCAGTCCGGCTCTCCGACGGCACCATGGGCCATCATAAAACGCGACGAGTCGATAGTACGCGGCATCCGACTGGCAGAGGCTGTAGGCTGTCCCCACGATCGCGATAACCTGCGCGAGGTGATCGATTGCTTGCTGACCAAGGATCCGGTGAACCTGGTCAAGAACGAATGGGGCACCTTGGGCATCTGCGAGTTTCCCTTTGTGCCCGTTATCGACGGCGCTTTTCTCGACGAAACGCCTCAACGATCGCTGGCCACCGCCTCGTTCAAGAAAGCTAATATCATGATGGGCTCAAACACCGAGGAGGGTTTCTACTTTATCATTTACTATCTAACCGAGCTGTTCCGCATCGACGGCACCGAGGACGTAAAGGTCAGCAGGGACAAGTTCCTCACCGCCATTACCGAACTGAACCCGTACGTCAGCCATATCGGCCGTCAAGCGATCATCTACGAATACACCGATTGGCTTAGACCGGACGACCCGAACGCAAATCGCGACGCTTTGGACAAAATCGTCGGCGATTATCAATTCACCTGTAACGTAAACGAATTCGCTGCTCGATACGCCGACACAGGGAACGACGTTTACATGTACTATTACAAGCACAGGTGAGACCAGACGTTCTTACTCGACAATTAACTGGCTGGACCAAATCGTTTTTACCTATTTTGACCAAATTTTCTAGATCCGCGAACAATCCCTGGCCTAGATGGACCGGCGTAATGCACGCCGACGAAATCAGCTACATCTTTGGGGAGCCTTTGGATTCGTCGAAAGGCTACACGCCGGATGAAGTGGCCTTGTCCAAAAGGATGATGAGATATTGGGCAAACTTTGCGAAAACTGGGTGAGTCAAAGGAACAGTCAAACTCTTTTTTACGATCCATCGGAATCGAAGAAGAATAAGAGGATAATCGTTTTACGGTTCGATCGACGATCGTCGTATTTCCGATACCAACGGGAAATCATTTGTTCCGCGGCTAGCCCTCTCTTGCGCTGATCATCCATTTAAGGTGTCGAGAATGCGCGCGTGTCACGGCGAATCGTCGATCTCCACATACATATATGTATATTTCTAACGAATCGGTCACGATACACGATTCCTCGCGCATAAAAATAATAACTAACTGAACGGTTTGCTCGATTTCCCCGTTAGGGATCCAAATGTTGGCACCGACGTTGCATCGTACACCGCAGCTTACTGGCCGCCGCACACAGTCGCAAAAAAAGAATACCTCACCTTGGACACCAACAACTCGGAAGTCGGCAACGGGCCTAGAGTAAGGCAGTGTACTTTCTGGAAGAAATATCTTCCAGAACTTCTCACCGCTACAGGTGAGTAATTTTACTTGATATTTCGGCAAACGAAACACCATCCCGATCAATCTTTTCTTTAGCCTAACTTGTATTCGTTTAGGCCGAGTCAGGAGTGAAAATAATCCTTTCAAGACACGAACAAACATCTCAATGATCGCAAAGGTCTCGGTTGAACGATCAACACACACGTGAAATTGCATCCGCCTTGAGATTAGTTTAACGTGCAACATTTTTTTTCTCTTTTCGAGCAATTCCTTTCGGTTGAACTGGTAGGTACACGAAGCGCGGCTTTCGAGCCAGAGGCTTCTTCTTCGCAGATTTCTCGTCATCAAGGAGCCGTTTCCCAGCGTTAAGTGGAACGCTCCGCGAGGCACGGGACACTTGATACGAGCTTTGAATAAATGATGCAAACTCGAGAGAGCGGCGACGCGTCGTCGTGACTCAACTTCCCTTTCGACGACCGAGAACCATTAACACTTTCACGAGCAAACTAATTGCGCCCAACAATACGAAAACCGTTGGTCATCGCAATTTTTTCCCCCGACTGCGCGCAATGCCTTAGCGAAACCGAAACTTTTTAAAACCACGATAACCTACAATACCCTAGATCAATACTTTTAATTTCATTTCATTTCAAAGAAATTATGCCATAAATGATTCTGTTATGAAATACTCGACGAGAGTAGAAGCCGATGCGTTCGTTCCGATGCGTTCGTTCCGATGCGTTCGTTCCGATGCGTTCGTTCCGATGCGTTCGTTCCGATGCGTTCGTTCCGATGCGTCTACCGAATGGTCTGGCGAAGAGGGTCGTCGAAGCGAAAAGGGGATAATATCACGACCGGATAGAAACGGCGATGCAGCGGAAAATTGCTACCGTAACGCTGTCTATTCCCTTCTGTTCCCCCTTGCTCGGATTCTTTCTTTCAAATGATATCCATTGTGCCTGCAGCGAGTACCTATCTCGGTTTCTTTTTGTCAAGCTGTCAGAGATCTGTCCGTATGGATACGCGCGACGTATTACGTTCGGTTCGGCAGCCAAAAGACGACGCGACGCTATGCCATTTCCAGCCTAACCTTGGAAAGATTTCTTAACGAACCACAGTTACGACATCTCGTCTCCGTCTACGCTCTATCGAAGCTCGATCAATTAAGAAAATCAATCATCCCTTTTCATCACTTTCTCTTGTCTAACAACGTTCCGATCCTTCCTATGTACATACATGGTATATTTCTACTTTTAAATGTTACGTAACTGAAAATGATAAATCCTTGTTGTTGGAAGAACCTTGGACCACATTAGTTATAATATAATAGAAAAAGGCTCATCATTTTTTTTCTCAGCAATATGGAGAAAAGCCGGGCGTTTTAACACTATTTCAGAGCTAGGAAAGGTGTCGAAAGACACTTTTTTCAAGTTTTATCATTTTTCCTCGGTAACACGATATTGACGATATTATGTAATTTCCATAAACAGTTATTTCCATGAAAATAAAAAAGTTATGAAAAAGCAACGATAAGTCAGCATAAACCCGCGGTAGAAATAGCGTCGAGGCGGGTAGACGTTGGAATCGGTGCGCGGCATCCCGTTGAGGAAAACCAATTTAACGGCTCGCACCTAACCATGGTATTCTCTTGCAGTCCTGTCGAAATTCATTTACGACACTCGTTATATCCACGTTTATTCCACCGTATCTACCATTAACATTACCTCGTAAATCCAACTAAATGCGATGAATTGGTAAATATAAAATCGGTCGCGGAAACACGATTCGCGTGCACGTACCTGAAATTGAATAAAAATCTAAATACCGTTGCATCGCGTGTCAAGTTTTCCCGCGTGAAACGTCTTGACTCGATGATCGGACACGATTCGGTCAGCGCATACGCGTAAATTATTGAACGTGTAAGCAGAGTTAAATAAAAGGTATCCGCATATGCGGCAGATGCGGTGTATACGATCCTCTGGTCTGGCGCATCGGCACTGTAACTAGAACAACGATGTCGCGGCGGCATTGCTTTATAATTACGTCGGTGGGCTTCGAAAGGTTAACCGCACGGCAGTTAAGGCAGACGACAGAGCACCGGGACGTGTCGTTGTCACGAGCTTTAATGGCCCGTTTACACGGTAAACCATTGGCGTAACCACATACACACACTTCGACCGTGTTTCCCCTTGCCTCCTCCTCGTTCTACGACAGAGTGTAGAGAGAGACAATCGACGGATAGAATCGGCCAAAATTTACCCGCGACAGCGATCAAACGTTTCTCAGAAATCTGTCGAATTTAAAATACTCCGGAAATCGCATTTGCCCATCGAATTTTATTTAATCTCATTCCTTGTGCTAAACGATCAAAAACAAAGACACATTAGTCGGAGTTTTCACACACCTGGCTGACAGATTTAGCAAAGGCAAACATTGCTCGTAAACAATACCCATCGTATCATTTATGTACACTCTGGTGTACGTGTATCTCCCTTTCGCGACGAACCGTTTTACGTCGATCCCCTTATCTGCGACACTTTCCAATTACCTATAAATGTTATAGTATGTTCGGAGACATTCAAAGAAACAAAGTCGATCGCAGCAGTAGCAACGATACCCCAAAGCATTACGAACAGCCGCATTGCTACACCGTATATGTAATGCTATATTAACGACTCAACGGTGAAACACTAGTACATACGTATATGTAATTCGTAAACACTACGCACGCGTATTGATCGGAATGGGCAACATTTTCAGCATCGATTTGATCGATTCACGATCCCTTTAATGCCAAGCAAGCTTTTAGGGCAAGAACGCGCATTTACGTTGCGCAAATTTCAGCCGTAACGGTGAACGTAACCGCTCCACTGTCGCAACCATGACGTCGCATCGCGTCGCGTCGCGTCGCACCGCATCTAGAGCTAAATGCACCCTTTTCATCGGACGTGGTTCGTACAATACGTGAGGAACAAAACTGCTGTTGACACGGTGCAACGACAGGCCAGCGTGGTTCCCGTTCGAAACAGACACCGACTACGATTACATCCGCAATACCACAATTATCTTTCGCTAACGATATAAAGTCTCCTACATGTAGTACTTGTACTAGCTCCGCGTGGATTTCATTCTCTCTGGCACTGGCCAGAGTTTATTTCCCTGCTGCTGCTGCTGCTGCTGCTGCTGCTGCTGCTGCTGCTGCTGCTCAATATTCTACCAACGACCGTAACGAACGTAACCTCGGTAACGACGAGGACGAAGATGACATTGATATCCTCAGGCTGCAAGAATAACTCGTTATCGGTTGAAAATAGAGCAGCGTGTCCTCTGTGGTAACCGAAAAGATCGTTCAATTTGTTTGCCCGGTAATTCAGAACTAAAACTGCATTACGCACGTTGAGCGTATTTTCGATTCGTTATCAGATTCTGCCAAAAATAAGATAGAGCGCGTGTCGGGGAAATAGAACGATAAAACTCGTCGAGATCGTTGCTGTTCGTCAGGATCCGATCGATCGATCGTTCGATACTGTGTCTCGTTAGCAATTTTAGGTAAAACTATAATTCATAATAGGACAAGGACGTTTCAAGAAAGCGGTATTCTCCACCAGCATCGCCAACACTAACAGAGTACGCTCGATTTCCCGATCGATTGTAAAAGTTACCGGTGAACGGAAATGATAATCAAAATTGATCCATCTATCCCCACCTTCCCTCTCGTCCCTCTCGTCCCTCTCGTCCCTCTCCTCGTAGCAGCCGGCCCACTTCTCTCCAGATGTATTTTCGCTGAATTACTTTTCCCGGGTTGGCTGTCGTCGGATATCATCAGATCCCAGACAACTCTTTCGACCAGAAGAAACTTGCAGGCCGTAGACAATTGTAGCAAAGACAAATTGGGATTCTCTCCCGCAGAATGATCGACGACTACCCTACTTTACCCTACCCTATCCTCTCTTCTCCTTCTGCAACCGATTCGGAGAAGAACAGGAGGTAGCCTGGCACGGATCATTACGTTATTCATACATTTAAAAAGAATCTCGATGTCTTAAAGTACCGGTGAGGATATTTTAAAACTAATAACAATTATCGTGGAGAGTCACTCGTCGCAACACCTATCCAGGGGTGAAAGTATTAAGAAAGAACAAGTCTCCGTACCTCATAGCGTAATAGTTCTGCGTGAATATGTTAATACTCGAACAACGATTCTCGGTTAGATTATCTATTAAAACGCGTTTTCGGGAAATCTCGTAAATCGATGGATTTCGATTCTCGGTTGGCCAGCTTTTACTACCTTTTTCTAACATTCTATTGCTTTCTCAATCGTTTCGACTCTCATTCTCCTTTCTCTTATTATTTTATCTTACATTTTATTCGAAAGATTCGATTGATTGTTTGGTCAGTGAAGTTGGTATAGATATTGCGTTTTGTTGCGCGGTCATTATCTACCGTGATATTATAATTAGATTATTTAGTGCCTTTCGTAGACGCGGAGCATGCTCTTTTCTTTGCGATTTGCGATAAGGTAGATTCTTCTATTATTCATGGTGAAAGGGGATTCCCTATTTGCGATAAGGTAGATTCCTCTATTACTGATGGTGGAAAGAAATCGTTAACGCAGACGAGGTATACGAGTATGTAGACCTTACATCCAATGGATTTTTTCGGATCCACTTTTATGGGGGTTTAGATTTAGCCCCATTACCATTCTCGTGTCACTCGCAACATTACCAAAAGGTTATACAAATAAACAGAAGAGGTGTGTGAGACAGAAAATGTACACCACACATTATATTTTCGGTAAGGAATTTTTTTCTCGAAAATGCGTAGGATTTCGGGGGTATGTATATTCACCAAAAATCATTGTAATTAACCCCCACAGACGAAAATAATTTTTTCAGAACTATTTAAAATTTTTTTTTCGTTGAAAAATTTAGCCACCTACTACCTCCTCTCGATTTTTCTTACAAACTAGTTATTGATTTTTAATACATTTGTGTGACGCGCCACGGAAATGTAGTCTAATATCTTTTTGTAAATACCCATGAGCGAAATAAAGTTCAATGAAATATATTCGCTATTGTAGGAGTTATGGTCGTTTGAAAATTGAGTTTTTTAATCCCTACCATAGTCAACTCACATGTATTTGCGCACACGCTACAGCTGTCTGCCCCTAAATATGTACTAATTCAACGAATAGTTTTTCAACCGACCGCCACCCATAAGAAGAGGACGCTAAAATCACCTTTGAATTGTGAGGTCGGTATGGCAGTCAGATTGGGCCACGAAAATCCATAAAGTGAATGATTTACATCTATTCCCCTCTTCTGTGTCGTTAATTCTATGTATCGATGTAGTCGCGTCTTCGGTTGCTTCTTTATTTTCTGTACGCTGTTGCTTTCATGTTCGCCTTCCGAACAATGTTCGATAATCTGGTCTTTCTTTTTCCTATAGATTACAAATATTCTATAGCGTGTTTATTCGTGTGCGAGAATACCCACAAACTCCAATCTAATCTGCATATACACGATACTCTTTTAACAATTTCATTCTCCTACGATTAATAGAGAACCGATACAACGACGAAAAAGTAACATTTACGGAACCGATATTACAACCCTGATCGAAATAAATACGTTCAGTTTTCTCGGTTTTCTAATATGTACATAGTTACTATTATAACTATTTTTAATCTCTAATACGGAAACTATTTGAGACGGTGCATTCGCATGAAAAACGGGCCGCTCATCTTCGGTAGGTTTTTAATTTGTCATGTGCATCGCACGACCATGAACGTCCGTTGAGCGCTGTCCTGCTGGGAATCGCCGCGCAACCCGTTTTCCCGTCGCCCTGGCGACACATAATCAATCCCTATACTATCCGGTATATAGAAAGGCAACGCATCATTGTTTCCACGATCGCGGGCTCTGTGAACAGTAATTAATCGTAATTCGTATGTACAGATGTCGGACGCTGCCTGCGTACCGCGGCGCAGCGCTTTAGCTTGCGAACGCACCTTCAAACGAATCACCGATCGTACAAATAGGAACAATCCTACCTATCAAATTTATAACATATACGTTACGGAGTGTACCATTAATTCGTTGATTTAAGAAAGCTATGCGAAAACAAAACGATCTATGCCTACGATCGAATATATTATTCTCGATCATAGGGAAAATATATGTATTTTCGATTAAATTGTTTGTCTTTCGATGAAAATTCAATTACGCGTATCCTTGTCAAAAGTTTGATATTATATGTATAATACATATACATATATGGAGAGAGGGTGTGTGTGTGAGTGATCTCGCGAATGCGTAACAATAATAGTAAACATTCTTCGCTGAGTTGTTTCACTGGCTTCACTTTCAAGTCCATCAAGTTAATAACGTATAAAAGAATAGTGAAAGTGGGCTACCGCATCAAGGGTAGAACGGGAAAAGGACAACCAGATGCTCGAAAGAGAAACTAAGAAAAGGCAATAATTGAGAAGGGAAGAGAGCGTAAAAGGAGTAGCCCATCGAGGCGGGAGAAAATTTAATCGGCGCAGCGCGGCGCAGCGCGTTGATCGCGTTGATCGCGTCGATCGCGTCGATCGCGTCGATCGCGTCGATCGCGTCGATCGCGTCGATCGCGTCGGATTGGTGGGTACGAACACGGACACAGCGAAGAGTAGGGGTTCCGATCGCAGCATCTAGGAACGAAACGAACGAAGAGACGAGCAGGGTAAACGAGGGTGCGGGGCTGGAACTGGCAGGGTGGATCGATGCCACTGCCACCACTGCTGTTTCTACAGCACGTCCGTGCGCGCAAATATGCGCACGTGCTCATGCACCTATGCACGCGTGAGTCTGCTAATGAGACTGCCAAAATGCGCCAAGATGCGCCAAGATGCGCGGATGATAATTGCGCGATAATCGATCATCCGCTTCTAACGAGATTTTTCTTAACTCCGGCACGAACCCCCATCGATCGAACGCTATCAAATTTTTTTCACAATCTCTTTAACTTGCCTAGAAACTGAAGAAATGCCTAATTCTGTCTCGATCGCGGTGAATAACAGTAGGTATTCCGAGTAATCGTAGGTGTAGAAGGAAGTAAACGATAACGTTGTGAAACGAAACGGGGCTTGCAAGATCGGATCTAATTCACCTGGCGATTCAAGGTCACTAAAAAGGCTACATTTCACTGTTCTCTCTCTCTCTCTCACACACACACACACACACACACACACACACACACACACACACACACACTCCCTATCTTCGATAGAAACACGCGCTGTCTATCAAACGGGAAAGCACACTGACACGACTCAAAAGAACAAACCATAGCAGACGTGATTCGTGGCCAAACAATTAACCTTGAGCATTCAAGCCGCCTTTGACTCGACTATAATTTCGAGGAACAAGATGGTACGACGACTCATGATAAGTATGTAATACCATCATACGAGTAATCTCATGGAATCCGCATTGTGCACGTTGTGTATCCATGTATAGTGTATACATATACATATAGCAAGCTTTTGAAGAGTTTGCAAACAGCAGTTACAATTACAGTTGCAATTAGAACAACGACGTTACCGATAACCGCCATCTAAATACTTACGTAGAATCGCAACGTGTAACTTGCTGCCTGGTAACTTTTGCATAGCGGAATATACATATGTATGTGCAAGCGTGTACTGATTTCGAAAGGAAGATATTTTCTACAACAAACAAAGCATTATTTAACTTGATGAAAAAATTAGCATTTTCGCTATATATTAACGCTTCGTATTTGTCACGACTTGAATCTACATACGTTAAATTGATAATTGTACGAGGATTCGTCGTTATTTAGTTTAACAGTGACCGCGTTACGTGATCGATAATATCTACCAGCAACGATCCATCCCAAAGGCTACCTATTCCCTGAACGTTTCGCTCAGAGAGGTCAAAAGGAATATGTACTCGGCACTGCGCCAAAACAGTCAGAGGTCACAACGATTCTTTGGCTACGCGTATTCGTTTCTCGGCAGCCGATTTCGAATTTAAAGCTATCGTAATCTTCGATTGTCGCGGCAAAGTGAAATTATTCCTTCGGATATTGTAACAATAACATCTATCTATCTTATCATTTTTATATTTAGCCGAGTAAGCCAGTAGACGAAAGGAATAAACTTTACGTTTTCGTTATCTTACACTTGTCCTGTTATTTCCATTGTTAAAACATTTCACGGCTTGTGTGAAAAATATACGTGCGAGGGGATATTGACAATTTAATAAATCATAGGTAGAACGTACGTGAATAGAAACAATTTACAATGAGAAAAATATCATTTTTAAATTAGCTGATCAAGATATTATGGTAAAAAATCATAGTAAAAGTAAATCGAATTAAAAGTTTGATATGAAAAACGAGAAAACCTCGAGGCAAACCGACAACTAAAATTTCGTTCGTCTTTTGTTACAGCGAGACTAGAGCACGCTTCGAAAGATACGTGTAGCGGCAGCAGCGTAAACGCCGGCAATCATCCAGTGATAGTGATAGTGGGCTTGATGTTGATCGGCGGCTTGTTCAACCACAGAATCCAAGTTTTGCCAATCTTTGACGCCAGAGGCTTCGTCTAGCTCCTGCTGCAAGCTGTACGGACCGTTCTCGATCATTGACGAAGCAAAGATTGGTTGGAAAAAACGCGCGGTATGGACGAAGACGAGCACGGACGAGCACGGACGAGCACGGACGAGCACGGACGAGCACGGACGAGCACGATGTCAACAGTCGCCACGATGGTTTTAAAAACGGTGACAATGAGTCGACGGTACCGCTGATAACGAGACAAGAAGTAAACAAGAAAAGGAAAAGAAAAAGAAAAAGAAAAAACAGACATATCAATGCGGTCGATTGTGCTCGGTCGGGCGGGGACGCGATCGATAGGTCGAGTCCTTGGTTCGGTGGTGAGAAAAATTTCATTCGCGGATCAACAGATCTACGAAATCCTCTTTGAGGTAAAACGGTAGAAACTGTGCTTCGGACAAGGAAGAGACTCGAGGATTTTCCTCGGTCCACGTCTCATCGACAAGTGCTGCTCTATTTTTTATATTCTCGCCCTCTTTATTTTTCATTTATTTTCTTTTTTCTTTTCTCTTTTCTCTTTTCTCTTTCTCTTCTCTTTCTTTTTTTCTTTGTATTTCTTCTTTCTATTCCTGTTTCCTTTTCTTTACCCTGTCTGTTTACTTACGATCTAGAGTTTGAAAACTACGTTCGACGGCGTGGGTTATCCTGACTGCGGATAAAGGAAGAAAACCGAACGAACCCGAGGCTAGAAATTCGCGTTCCTGACGGAGTCTCGCTAACACGAATCGAGAGGTATCGAACTAAAAACGAGAGGGCTTGGAGTAAAACAATTTGTAGGATTTAATTGTCGCGAAGTCTGATGAAACAGGAACAGCCGATAAATCAGTGTCGAGTGTTCCCACCGGTCTACGTCGCCTCGCAGTCGCCTCGCAGTCGCCTCGCAGTCGCCTCGCAGTCCACTGCGTTACATCTCGAGCATCCTAACGCGACCTCTATGTACCTATCCGACCAACTCTAATTGCAACTACTCACGCAACAAACATAACACCACCGTCGTACTTCACTGTCCACCGCGTTTCCAAATTTATTTATCGCATATTTTTCCTTTTTCCTTTTTCCTTTTTCCTTTTTCCTTTTTTTCTTTAATCGGTTTGAAACGGATTGAATCGGATCGGATCATCAAAAAGCGACACTATATTCGTAGAAATTCTCTAATGCCGATTTCGTTTAAGCTTATTTTCTTTACTCTTCCGGTCTATGTATGGTGACTATAGTCGTAACTTCGAAATAATTCGTAGCGACCGAGCGTGAGCATAGCCAGGGGCCATAGGAAACATTATTGGCCGGATCGCTGCACGGTCCATTCCGAAATTATTAAGCACAGAATGCTTCGGAAGTAACGCTTTTTCCTCGGTAACGGGAACATTTTACCGAAATCGTTTAAACGAGAAAACATCCTCCGTTCCCTTCGCAAAGATGACATTAATTCTTATTCGTACGTATCCGTGTAAAAACATCAATCCCGTATATTCGGTTCAACGTATCCAGCTTTGAAGGTAACGCGAGACCGTCGAACACGAACAGCTCTCGTTCTTCTTATTCCCTGGGCAGAGAAAAAGATAGTTTTAGAAAATGTGGGAATCAGCATAAATGTTTTTTTCTCGAAAAAATACGTACGCGGAACGAAAATTATAGCCCACCTTAAGTAATTACATATACGTTTACAATACTAGTAATTAACTTCTTAACGAAACAACTTGCATATTCCTGTCTGTAACTGTACCATGATATTTACATATATTAGTATAAGAAATATTACATTTGCATTTGTCACGAAGCAAGACTCGCGTGAAATGGTCATTATTCGTTTTTAACTTGTCTCGCAGAGACGTTTAGGATCGAAAAATTGCCCAGTCTATAGGTTCGTTTTCTGCGAATGATAACAAGCAGCCTGTTAGAGTTGTATCGTCTGCTGCTATCGTTGAATCAATTTCAACTCCTCATACGTGGTAAATTACCGATCATCCGCATACGTATCGTCTACGTACGATACGCCGTACGAAAACCGTTATTCGTACATATTTTCATTTCTAACTCTGTCGAACGATCTTCAAAGAAGATGTTCAGTCTGAAACATCGAGATACATATGTAATTCGTTTATCGAGCGATTTTACGACTTCCGATCTAGCAGGAATGATCGATGCCCCCCCTCCCGCAACTACATATCCGAAGAAACGCGAGTCGCAATTCGATCTAGTGTATGGTTTCTGGTTACCTATACGTGCGCATGTTTGTAATGCGGTACAGTCGGTGCAGAGTAGATTCCATTCGTAAGTACATACATACATATACAAGTGGTAGAGACTTGAACGCGAGCCGCGGACGAACGTTGTCGCCCCTCGTTCAACCGCAACACCGAACGAATCTTTAAACGCATAACGCGTTTCTCGAAAATTCTCTATTCTTGAAAGTTTACCATAAATCAAGACGAAGCGAGTCGACGGTAAATTAACGAAATTAATCCAATTCCAATAGAATTCTAAACGCATTTCACTTGGTCGGCGATATCCATGCACCCTGGAATACTCGATCGATTCTGTCAACTAGATATTGCGCGTATCCTAATTATTTTTAAATCGAGTATCGTTTAAAAAAATTTCTTGGAAATCGCATCTATCTCGTGAGAGCCAACTAAATTTCCAATCGCGTTCAGAACATTGCCAGATTAATTTAACCTTACGAAACTTGAACGATTTACTCGTGAGAATAAATATTTACTCGTTTGCCTTATCCTTGGGTCGGTGATTGCGTCGCGTCACGGATACCATCCAAGATACGATCAGATATCATTTCACCGGGAACGTATGGAGGTGTACGAGACTGGTTCGTAAACGTTCAAGTGTACGCTATAAAATTTTACGGCGAAACGGCGAATAGAATTGGTTGGTTCGTGACAAGCCACGTAATACCAGCAGCCTCGTTGGTTCGTTTCAGGATGCGAGGCAGATCCGATCGGCGTTTAGACAGCCAGCAGAAAAAGTGCGAGTTGCGCTCGGATTCCCGTATTCTCGGATTCCCCTATTCCCCTATTCCCCTATTCCCCTATTCCCGTATTCCCGTATTCCCGTATTCCCGTATTCCCGTATTCCCGTATTCCCGTATTCCCGTATTCCCGTATTCCCGTATTCCCGGTGACTCGGTACAGGTGCAGTCGTTAGGAGGATCGTTGCGACATTTTTACGGAACAGAGGATGTAATAACCAAACACCGAGGAACAAACGGTCTCTGTCTGTCTTTTATTTTGCTAGAAACGTGTCCTCCGGCCGGAAGCCCCTCGTCTAGCTCTTCTAATTTTCAAAACATCTTTATTCGTCCGTAAAGATGTCAGAGTCCGTGACGGCGATCAACGGCTGAATACTAACGGCAGAGTTTCAAACAGATCCGCGAGCTGGACTTGTACGAGAATAAACCGGAATCCTATGGACGAAGAGAGGGAAAGAAGAGGATTTCGTGCGCACGAACACGACCGTGCCAAGTTAATTTCGATTAACCGTTAATTATTTCTAGCGACTAGTTCTCCAAGTAGCAAGACACGTGTCAAAGTACAATGATGATAAGAACGACGAAGCGCGCTATACATACTTACTTACCTACTGCTGCCGCTCAAAAGTCCTACGACATCTACTACTACTTTACGACGAAACATTCCTTCTATTTTCTATATTATGGTTCCGTATACATATGTAGATACTTGTTGTGCTTTGCATTTGAAATTTCGTTAACATTGCGTACATTTAACCAACTCTATTTCAGCAACCGTGGAACTAACGATATTTCACAATGAAATCTCTAAAAAAGAAATTAAGAAAGCAAGTCTGTCAAAACTAGTAGAGGCTGTAATTAAGAAACAAGGCGAGTATACTATAGATATACATATACGTACACATACTATATGAGAAAAAGGCTTAAATAGATTTTTATCTCTTCGACGAGCTTTCCAACCAACGATAACCTCGATCAGTTTTAACCAACCATTATGTACTTCTTACGTTGCTTCAAAACATTCATCCGCTAAACATAATACTGTATGGAATCCCATTAGAAGAACCATATACATACATACATAAGTACGTGTAGTATTTTCAGAATTACGCGTCACGTTGTTAAATTTCTACAACACTACCTTTGGAAACATTAGTAACGAAGGAAACCGATCGATCTTGTAGGTGATCCAACAGTGAACTATTCTATTCTCTCTATATGTATCTCTTTATTTTTAAGCATTTCCAATTCTTTCAGCATTACCTCGTAAACAAACTCGAATATTTTTACACGTTACTAACGCCACCGTCGCGCGTCACCGTAAAAATTATTAAATGTAACGTTTAATTAATATCAAATGTGTATAGGATTTGTTAGGGCGTCGGTACTCGATGTATCATGTATCCTTTAGACATGAATTTTTCGCAGTATAATTTCCACTGGCTTTGTTTATATGTATACTTTCTCTTTGTAAATATCATTTATACAGGTGACTCTTGAGAAATTACAAGATTTTAATTCAATCGATCATCGACACAATTTATGCAATTACCTGATACGTATTTTTTTTTTTTCTTTTTTTCTTTTTTTATCGTATAAAAGTCCGGCGACTTTCGTGCGGCGGGTAACGCATACATATAAAGAAACAAAAGATCCATCGAAAGATTTGATTCGATCGAACAAACATTCTCCTGTTGTAAGTACATACTTGGTTCCCTCTCGTCGTTCAACTAACAATAATTAATAATGTCACGAGACGAAGACGTTCAAGTAGGTCGATCTTATTTGTTAGTATTTCTTCTTAGCCCGTTCAATCGTCGCTACATATACGTACTTACACGTACCATGTATGTTGCACTACCTTTGCGCTTCCGCTTAAAACTTCCCATTGGATAGTGTTCATTTTGATCGTTTTGTTTGGTGGGTTTTTTCGGTGTTATAGGCGTCTCTTGCTTGGGGACTAGTTATCGTGAACCAGGAGCCGCATTTACTTGGTCGTCGACCGACTGGCTTGCTGGCTGTTTACCTTCTCTCTATTAGAGGGAGGTCAGGTGTGGAGACTCGCAGAGGGTACCCCCCGTTTCTTATTAAAGGTGTGAATTTTTTATTCGACCAAAATTTTCTTCGCTCTGTAAAAATCGTAGAGATAAATATTGTTCCGTCGTTGAAAGTACATACGTACATATGTATATGGTAGCTAGGTATAGTCAAGGGGACAGATTTTTCACTTAATTTTCACCGCTATTCTTCTTGGTTGTCGTCGTTGTTCGCTCGCGCGCGTTTCTTTCCTAGTTCCCACCGGTGTGTGTGTGTGTGTGTGTGTGTGTTCACAGAGAGGGAATAACGTGAAACTGCAACACACACACACACACACACACACATATTCCTAACCCTTTATTTCCGTTCTTACAAGTCGTGATAGACAGGTGAGATTCTACGTTTATTTTACGTTTATTTCGGATGTCGAACATGTTTCGACACGAATCGAGGATTTATATGTTGTGTTAACTAGAACTGGTAGATACGTATGCAGAGTGTTCGCGAGAATAATGAACAGCCGCGAATAAATGGAACAGAGTCGTCGATTGATTAGATTCCGAAGATGAAAGCTCGTAGAACGCTGCGTTTGCGGTTACGTGTTTATCTTGCCGCGTTAAATTCACTCCAATTACTTGGATGTATTATGTCTGATAACATTATACATACTATACGTATAAACATATATAGTGTGTATAGAGGTACATGTACATAGTTTAGAGATGGTACCTACCGTCGTGGTACGTTTCTACATATGTATATCTACATATGTATGTATATGAATGACTTGGTCACGCGTAACTCTTTATTGCGATTTATTCGCAATAAACGCAATAAACGATGAACGAAGCGGAAAAATAATTGTACCTCGATTGTTGTCGATTCAAGTGCGATCGATCCTACGACACGCGATCACATATGCACATCATCTACCAAAGGAAGAACAATAATAGCAAGAGCCTTGCTACCGCTACCGCTACCCTACCGTCGACCAAATCGCCGGCGGCCATGCGTCTAACCATCCATATACATATTCCCATGAACGTCGGTGATTGTTGGCAACTGGTCGACAGTGTCCAACAAGGGTTCTAGTCGTATGAGAATGGTTGCCGTTTGCTACAGCTTTTTCCGAACCTTTTACCTCTTCAATGTGAAAAGGTGACGATCGTGACTAAACAAGTATATCGACTCGTTTTGGTCGTAGAGCTGAGTTAAAACTTTATTATTTTTATCATCCGACTGGCAAAATAACTATCTACGATAAGATTATTCTGGACACTTTCCGGGGAAAGGAAAGAAATTAGTAACAGATACATCGAATTGGAGAAAAGTCTGGTCACATCGGACGATTAAAATTAATGGATCGATCGAATGGAAACGTTCGTCGAAACCAGCGAGTTAACGAACAGATATGTAAGTGACACTGCGTCTTAAAAATGATCGTTAAAAAGAAACGTTCCAAGTACCTATGTACGGTTAGACGCGATTGATCGTCGCCTTGGTTGGGAGAAGAACGAGCAAGCACAAGACGTAGTACATAGTTATTGTTTGTACGAATCGCCGCTTTATATTTATGGCGTTAGGTGTTTGTATCCCAGGCAAAGGTGTGACCGAAATACTGGATACATAAGTACGTATGTATTTTCTCACTTGTTGACAATTATTTGTCGCGCGTCGACTTCCTTGCCCGGTGGAGCAAATTTCCTCTACGGGCACGCATAAATTTTATCTCGATTTTCTTTTTTCTTTTTCTTTTTCTTTTGCTTTCTCTTGCTCCTTCTCTTTTTAAGAGAACATAGAGACTTGAAACCTGAAAAAATTCCATCGGATGCTGTTGGACGGATGTAAATGTTCTATCTGAAGGCTGTTTCGAAAGTAAACTGACTCTTTCGCTTTCGCTTCAATATTTATTCCGTTTCGCTCGCAGTAAACTCTAAAGAAACCGGTCGAATAAATAATTAAATAGAACGATGGTTAGCCTTCTTTTCCCAAATATACATTGTATGTACCTATATTACTCGAAGCGTTCAAGTTTAAAACAGGTCTAAGGGCAAACTAATTCCGATTTAGATACATACGTACAATAGTTAGCCGGATTTATTACAATTACGATTGGAAGAATTACGTCGGCTAGAACGTACTGCTTCTATTGATTTTTATTTTATATCCTTAGACCGTCTATATGTATACATACATATATGTATGTATATCTCTATAACTGGTAAACCTTTTAGGTAGAATTTTACCTCTGCAGTTATTTTCATTCTCGTTTCATTTATCGTCACTTTCAAATAATCTACATTGGTTTGTCAATCGCTAGGACTCCTTCTCGCAGAGATACTTACCGAGATAAATAGTGCCGTTAGAAACGGCTGAAATCCATCGATGATTTCCCAAACACGTGCTTTACGCTTTCTTCCTTTTCCACCTTTCGTCTATACAAGTTAAGCGCGAATACTTGAGGGATTGATTTAATCGTGAGACTCGAATAGAAATTTGTCGGAAATTGTACAACACATCGAATCAATGGTTCAAAAGTATAATCAGGTGGTGGGTGCGAGAAGAGACATCGACTCTAGCTGATCAGCAAAGGTTTTACAATGATTTATTAAAAGTCTGTAAAAAAGACTCTAAACGATCGTAGGTCGCGGACACCCGTAAGCGTCGAAACGAAACCGAGCGAAAGAAGAAACATCGACATCGTCGTGTGTCACCGATATACAGAACAATTCGCGATCCACCGTCCAAAATCATCTTTAATAATCTTAATCTGCGCAAACATTCTATCAAGTGGCCAAGACACACTGACAACGTACTCGCGCTACCGAGCGCGCTGATAAAGAAAACCGATAAATATAACTTGTTGGTACTTTTGACATTTTCAATCGTTGCTCGTTGCTCGTTGCTCGTTGATTACTGTAACGCGTAGGGCTGTAGCGGCATAAGATGTCTCGCGATACCGTAAATCGTTCGAAACGCGCGATCAATTTCTCGGCACAGTAGAGTGATGAAAATCGTGTAAATATCATACGCCCGAAATACGTGTACATACATATCTCGATAGAAAGAATAGAGACGATTGGAAAGAACAGCACCAGACTGTATTTACTACGTATGTACATAAGTAGGTACTTGTGTACGCGTTCGTTCTCGTGGATCGCGAATTAAGAGCATAGAAATTCTACGTTTACATACTATACATACATATATCGTACGATACCCCATAATCGACGCGATTTCGAGACGCAACTCGAATTCGTTAGAAAATAAAATAGACGCAAAGTTCGCTGAAAGCATCGAAAGGTAACAGGCTTTAGCGGAACGATCGTCCTTTTCTTTTTAATTCGTTTCTTCGTTAAAACGAGAAAAATTGATCTTACTTCTGTCAGTCGGATTGACAGGAAGTCGCTGGAAAAGTAGCCCGCAGGCCTAAATACACTTTAATTAACCATCAAAGAGATAAATAAATAAATAAATAAATAAATAAATAAATAAATAAATAAATAATTGATCGATCGGTCGATCGATCAATTAATTAATTATTCAAGCCGAACAGTTGATCGAATTCAATACGACGTATTCCTCGGGGGGGTGGAGGTGAGGATGGAGAGAGGAATCGGTTCCTTGTGTCGTCGTATTGGATAACGATCCTCGCGACGCGATCGGCTGTTAGAGGGCTGCGTTTTGCCCGATCTATTCCCACGTCGATACGATGCATGTTTCCTACTACATACATACCACCACCGTATCTGCAAATAAAGATACAAGGAAAGCTCGCGTTACATTTTTTAATCTTCCACGGCTTCCGGGTGTGAGTCGTGTTGCGGCCAACTTGTTCACAGTCCTGACCTCGGACCGATATTTATCTATACTATACGTTGTATAGTAATCCGATACATGCTACCGAACATAGTACCGAACAGCATCGGTATATGTAGATGATAGAGCATGTATACGTATGGTACATTACGATCATCTCGTAAGAACTGCGAGGTGCCAGGAATTTAGAGCGTTGCTTTTAAAGGAAAAAAGGTCTCGGACCGTACTTACGTCTACACTCTATGTACCTTCCTTCCAACGCATCGTCCTAACACTTGCTTTCCCGCGTCTCGTTACCCTAAACATACGCCCGCTGCGCCCCACCTATACACGGCATGCATCCGGAAACTTGAGCAAACTTTCAACCGAAAATCTACAATGCCGCAAAACTATTTATTAATATTCGAACCTAATCTTTCTTTATTTTTCGTCGAATCGAAATAACGGTCTAGGCATACTTACCAAAATAACATTCCCGAAAATCCTCGATCGTTGTACGTACCTACATATACTTACATATGTACATATGTATAATCGACAAGACGCGATTTCAGGCTGTAATTTCGAGAACAATTTTTCACAAGTAGTTTCGCAACACGACGCTAGTAAATACTCCGAATGTTCGCTCGACGAAATTCAATATAGCAACTGCGATTGGAAAATGTTTATGATTATCCTACGACATAGGGGAATCGCCGGAAAGCAAACGGAATGCAGCCGGCGTTCAAGCCGCAAAAATCATGCGAGATACAGACATATATAACTTTCCCAACGGCAAACCGATTATCTTAACATTACTTATACATGTTAATATAAATACAAAGTATAATTATTATTTATTAAATATCATTATTAACTATTATTATCATCATCATCATCATCATCACATCATCATCATCATCATCATCATCATCATCATCATCAATCATCATCATCATCATCATCATCAATCATCATCATCATCATCATCATCATCATCATCATCATCATCATCATCATCAATCATCATCATCATCATCATCATCATCATCATCATCATCATCATCATCATCATCATCATCATCATCATCATCATCATCATTATTATTATCATTTTCATTATCATTATCATTATTATTGTTGTTGTTGTTGTTATTATTATTATTATTATTATGATTATGATTATTAATCGGTAGTTACGTACATATTATACGAAGAAAAAAAATTTACTGCTTGTATATATTGAGAATATCATAATAAAAATAATGTACGAACTATAGTGTAATAAGTTCTGTTGATCACACATATCCCTTACGCGAGGAAACAATCTTTCATAATGGTCCAGGATTCGACAATTATACGACACGTTATCTATGTATCTCTGAATCGCAATTAATTTGTAAATTGGTAAATTAAAAAATAGTCAACCTAAATACTCCAAGAATTTAATTTTATCCGTATCTGTAAAAAATATATAATATTACGTCGCGTGCGAAAGATTAAGAAATATCCTGAAATCAAACAAAAGTGATAACCTTTTACATATGTATAAATTAATGTAACATATGTATGTATGTAAGTGCATGTATAAATGAATAAAAAATATTGTAATAGGAAGAACGCGCTTAATCAGATATTAACGATGAGAACGTCGAACAAATATTTCCGACATCGGATCGCGACTGAACTGCTGCACTACCTAATCATTATTTCTGCGATCGGCAGATTTCATTCTTTCGAAAATTATTTCTATCCCCGGCCTCGAAACCAGTCGAATATGAAAACCGACATGGTTGGAACAATCCAATAGTGAAACACGATACGGTCGATCCGGTACACTAGTATCCGAATATATGCAAAACAATCGAGATTGATCAGACTTTTTCATTTATCTATGTATATTCTGATAAATTACAATAACGGTTTTCTCGCTCGCAAGTATTAGAAATTAAGAGAAGAAATACATAATAGAATAAATAGGGTAAATATATCCGTTGTTATTCTGGACCGGGAAACATCTTGTATCGCAAACAGTCCAAGCAATCGGCACATCGATTCGAATCAAATTTTCTGCCCTGCTGCACAGCTTGTAGAAACTTACCCCGTACCAAGGTATGCGATCGTAGAAAATACCATCTTTATCGTCCTCGTGATCTTTTTTATAAACGTTATTACTTTCTTCGACCGTGGTCATACTGGAAATAGATTGATTGTTTGCGTCAGCGCAAACCCGCCGCGAGACCGACGCGAGTAATTCTGCACCACAGGTAACCACCGATGGTTACCGTTGAAAATCAAACAATCGGTGTCTTACAGCGTGCAGGCTCATGACGATCCCCGATCGGATACATATTCGCACTGATAATTAATCAACCTTGTCGTGCATTTCGAAATTATACAGAAAATAAAATAAATACAATGTATCGTACAAATCGAATCTAAAATATGTACATTATGCCGTTTATCTTGTAAACATTAAACATAAAGTCTCATCTTTATTTGCCAACAGTTCTTCTGTTGATACACCACGATGAAAATCAAGTTATTACGTAGCCGATGCTTCTTTAATTTCCAAATATTTCAATCGTAAAAAATAACTTATTTTTATTTATCAGAAATCTCATACCAAGACTTGTACAATGTTAAAGAGAGTACGTATTATTCGTAATCTTGAATCCAAGTACATATGTACTTTGTTTTATCCTTTAAAAGTACCCATTCGAGCAGCTTCGGTTATGAAATGTTTTCTCCTAGATTCATCTAGCTCGGCAAAATCTCGAGTCTGTATCACCGCACTCATATGTTTTAAAGCGAATTCAAAACAATATTCTTCCAGTTCCTGAAACACACAAATTACACGACAGACTTTTATAACATTACCAACTGCGATGCATTAAATATTACCTTAACGTTACAAGCAATGGCTGTACTGTACAGAGAGATCGCGTTTTTCACAGTAATTCCTTTCCTCATCATTTCCACGCAACATTTCTTTAACCGATTTTCGGAGTAAACGTTTGCCAAGTCCAACAGTTCTTTGGACAAAACAGCATATCGAAAACATAAATACATTATACGATATAACGAGAAATGTAGTCGAGTAGTCACCTTGGGCACCTTCAGGCTGTAAATCGATCTCGTCGGTATATAAATACTTTAAGAAAGCTCTGTACACATCATAGGAAAACTGATAATGTTCTATAACGCTAGAAAAAGAAAACATGTTGATCAAATAACAGTCATATATGTATATGTATGTACATACATCGAATCAGCCGATTCACCTTTCTTTCTCCTCCGCCGAGTATTCCTGAAACATTGTCCTAAAGTGTTGGCAACGTATTTTCAGCACAGCTTTGTGTACGTGAATAGCTTTTCCCCGCACTCGTATAATCAAATCACTGGTGGTCTTTGGAAATTACAACAGGAATGCGATCAAAGAAATGTTTCGCTGCTAACGGTGGAAACAAGTATTACGCGCAACAGATATGTTGTACATACTAAATCGTCGAATGCTCCTTTCAAACAATCCGTTATACTCGGTTCTTCTCCTTCGTCGCGAAGAACGAACGGTTGATGCATAACTCTGGGCCATGCAAAACTCGCAAGAGCATCGTGCAGGCAACATACTGGAAAAAGTATCGGTGTTGCGATACTTAGTCCTAAACATTGACCCCATATGAATATATGATTGCCCGATGTCGTTGCTACGCTTATGTGACTATAATGAGAAGTCGCTACATCCAATACTTTTTCCAGTTTCGGCATATCCAACTGAAAAAACCTTTATCGCTAAGAATTTATTAACGTAATTATTTCACATCGTTTTACCTTTACTGGATAGTTGGTTATCACTTTAACGTTATGACCTAGTTGCCCATGACTGTTTCCACCCCAAGTATAGAGAACTCCGTTGTTACTCAATGCCAGAGCGTGCGAGTAACCACAAACTACTTTTGCTACAATTTCACATAAACATTATTCATACTCTGGGCACATTTTTCATTCACGCGTTCAAAGATTAATCGACCAGTACTTATTACAATTCCAGAAAGCTGTGTGATTTTACATGGAACCGTTTGATTGATACAATTTCCAATTCCAAGCTCGCCAGCGGTATTGCAACCCCAACCATAAACCTCTCCTTTATTAGAAACTGCTATACTCGACGAGTGACCACAACTGATGAAAACGATCTTTTTCTCGGCTAACGCATAATTCACTCTTTTAGCTATTCTTTGATTCCCATCGACACTGCCATCTACTTGTCCACAGTTATTTCTACCCCATGCATACACCTAAGTACTCAATTATTATTATATACACACAAATACTCTGATTACTGTTCAAAACTAATCTGCCTTTGATCGAAAGTTTGCGTTTTACCGTTCCTTCGTCCGTTAATGCCAGATTATGATGACCTCCGCAAGCTATCGCCATGATAAATTTATCTTTTAAATTTGCTTCCACAAGAATTGGTGTTAGACCTAACGTGGTAGACCCGTTTCCCAGTTCATAGTAACTATTGTGTCCCCACGAATACACCTTTTGTACAATATGTCTTATTAATCGACGCAATACCATGTATTTCTTTAACCGTCGTAATACCAATTTGATAGAATATTCGACACCTAATGTGGCCAAAATACCTGCCCATCCATTGTAAGAGCCAAAACGTGCGGACCTTTGCCATACGCAAACGTTTTAATATCATTATCGCATAACTGTTCGATTTTCTTTGGACTTTGGATATTATCGGTATCGCCGGTCCCCAGACAGCCGTTTGTATTATTTCCTACCGCGTATACCATTTTATCTTTCGTTACGATTAAAGCTTCGTTACCTAAATTACCTGATTAATAAATGCCAATATTAGTTCACTTTAATTAAAACTCTATAGACGTCTATAGTTTCTCGAATATACAGATAATATAATGTTGGAAATAAGTAGCACCAAGGTATAAAGATTGAAATCAAAATGGTAATATTACCATATACGATAGCTATGCGGATGTTTGCAACAAACTTTGGTTCTAGCAAACTAAATATTGGCCACTTCTTTAAGTTCCGCAAAGACATTTCTGCGTTCCGGTCTGTGCTTTTAATAGAGAAATAATATAATACCTGTGTAATTTAAAGAGTTTTTCATTAAATCATTTAGAAAGCATATCTGCCACCCTTACAGTTCTCTTTTATTAATTAAATAGACTGCGATCATCTTTGTATTTTATAACAAGAACAACTTTAAAGCGCATACAATTGTCACACAATTGGCACAAACACAAATATCATTGCATAAAATGCGTTGTTTTATATTAAGATTTACTATACTTGACTAAGACTGATTTCTAACATAAATACCGGTAAACTGACATTTCATAAATATTAAGTTGGGACGTAAATTTATGTCGTTCTTTTCATATCTAAATTTTTAGTTGGCGTGTTTTGACAAAACTTCGTACACCATTCGAAAATTTCTTCTTTGCTCTACACACTTGTTGCCATCGATTTAATCCAATTTTTAGGGTTAAAAATCAAATACCAAGTCAACAGAACCAACCACATTCAACGTCCGCTTCTCTTAGCTTTCAATTAAATTTCGAAATAATCAATGCGAGCTGTATGTTCGACAAATGCATCACCTCGATCAAGTTATTCAATAAAATCAATCTGATCGGCGAAATGGTGTGATTGTTCGACATGTCGATGCCCATCTCCGCATCGCCGATGATACGATCAAATCCGCCATTTAAACGTTTAGTGGAGAAATTGTACCACACCACACCTACCATACTCTCCACATTTTACGAATAGGTCGTAAACAATAAAGGAAAATACATTATTGATCGTTTGTCGTTTTTATTTGAAATAGTGTTCACATATAGGCAAACCTGCTGAACATAACAAGCTTCATGAAAATAGTGATAAATATAATTCGTAGAAATCAATTACCATGGAACAATTACATAAAAAATAACTAGCAATTATCTATAAAGACGAATCGCGTTACAACAAGGAACAAGGTAATATTGTCGCGTATTTTAGCGGGGAATTTAAGATAAGAACGCGGGTTGGTGCCCGTGGAGCGCAGAACCGCTCTGCTTGTCGGAGTGTGGGAATTTTAATAAAACTAGACAAGAGAACTCTTTTGTTAGGTAAACTTCGTAGTTTATTTTACTGGTCCGAAGGCCGGTTAGAGACACAATGACAAGAAAAATCGTAGCATTTCGAAGTCTCCTCCGAGGTCCTCGCCGAAGTCGTTGGCCAAATCCTCCTAGTCCTCCCATAGATCCTCGTAGTCCAATCAGGGTGAAGGACGCATCAGATCCAAGCGGTAGGCCGTCCTTCCGATGCACACACGCCCCCGCGAATCGGCGTCTAACTTTCCCTCCGTCTTCGGGTGGTGGTGGGAACTCGGTGGAGTCGCGCTTTTCCGTTACACAGCGGGGTGCCTACGTGGGAAGAGAAAATAGGCTCTGCTCCGAGGATCGAGAGAACAACCCTTGAAGGAAATTTATGACTTCCTTAGCGTTGCCAACATTTCTGGAGTCGATCGACGCTCCTAAGAGACTAACAAAAGGACAAGGCCTTTTCAAGAGGTTACGTGACTTACAAGAAACTCGCGATTCGTTTCGGGGTCTGCTAATTGGTGTCCTCTTCCTGTTTTCGAGCTCTACCCAAGATCTTTCCCACGCGTGCCACCAGCATCGCGCATCCTTAACAATATTCTCTCAATCACGCATAACCATCCGCTTTTGAATTTCGCTCCTAATTTACCTATCGATTATTATATTTCTGGGGCTACGTTCGCGTGGTCACGCAACAATATCACAGATGAGGTATACGAGTACATATATGTGGTAATCTGGTAATATCTCTTCGAGTTTAACAGAACAGAACATTGTACAGCATCGCGCGTGAATTAAAAATAGCAGCAACAATAATATGCACCTACTGTAAAAATATAATTACAATACTTTGACTACTTTTATACAAAACTAGCATTTTTCAGCACTTTTATGCGTTACCCAAATTTTTCATGCAACACGATAGGGGAAATTAGAGAAAAAAGTCCAAATATAGGCTTTTAAACAAAATATACATATACTGATTTCTTTTGCTAAACTATCAGATGACCAATCGCAAATCGAATTTGGTTTAAAAACACTTTTAACTCTCTTATTTGGTTGTACTCGTTATAAAAACATCTTTATTCTTAGTATATTAGGTGTATTAATATTTGGAATTTATTTTTGTACAAAATATCTGAAATTTGCCGACACGTTCCATGTCACCTCGTTCGCTAGCACTGAAAAGAATGTTGTTCTTCTTCTGGGCTTAGGGAGCATTCAACACTTTGTTGGGACACAAAAACATTCTGTGCTTTTGTCGTTATATTTCCCTGCAACAATATAATTCCATTAATTAACTTTATCCTGCTATCTGTGTATATTAACGGATCATGCATACCTGAGTTACCGTCGTAGTCGAGTGGCTACCGCTTGACATACAAACGACCACCAATTTCGGTGCGCTGCTCTGTATATGTGTCTTTTGTTGACCGACATTGGTTTGAGCTATTTTAACTTGTTGCTGCTGCTGTTGCTGCTGCTGCTGCTGCTGCTGCTGCTGCTGCTGCTGTTGCGACTGAGATTGCTGTTGTTGTTGTTGCTGCTGTTGCTGCTGCTGCTGCTGCTGCTGCTGCTGAAGCGCACTGGTATTAATGTTTGAAGTGGTCGGTGTTTGTGATCGTGATTGCAAAATAACGAATTTTTGTCCACCGCTTGTAGTAGTTCCACCGGTAGTTCTACTTGTACCTAACATTATTGTACGTCCAGTTTGTTGTCCAGGGCTGGAACTTGTCACTGGAATGAAAAATGAAACTTTTACGTGTAACGCAAACAATATTACAGTTTTTATCTTCGATCTTATTTTCCGAGTATATTAAAACAGTCGCTTATGTCGCTTATAAAGCTTTGACACGTATTCATAGAATGTTCTACTGTCTCTTGAATATTTTTATTATCTATTTCCACCGTACGTAAGTAAGTACTTACGTATGTTTCTTTTCATTTTTTGTACAGATGCACATATACGTATATTTTTTGTTTTATGTACCAACGGGGATTTCCCCTTTATTGAATAAATAAATATATTACGTAACGACAGATAAAATTACCAGCTTGTACAATAGTTTTTCCGGCGCACGTGGGACCCTGTTGACTCGTTGTTAGAGACGTTGTCGTCGATGCAGTCGTTGCTAACGTTGCTGGCTGTGTACGAGCCTTTGCAACTGCTGCACATAATGCGGGGCCAATGTAACCATAATCCTGTTTGTAATCTTCCACGTAATCCGGCGGAGATCGGACAGTTTTCAAAACAGGAGCAACTGATTTCTATAAACCGCATCACATTTTGATAAACACGTCGTCACCCACGTAACGCGACAAAAATCTCGAATTGATAAAATATACATTATTTACCACGAGTAAGGTTTTTATATGACCTGCTCCATTTTTATCCACACTCGACAAACCTGGTCCTTCGATGCACGATTCGATACGTTCCGAAATCGATTTAATTTTAGGAATAACTAACGCCTTAATTACTTCCGGACCTAACTCGCATAATCCCTCGATCGCACCGTAAAGGGATGCCAATGGGGTCTGGAAAAGTATTTAATTGTTCTTGTATTGCGTCGCGGGTTTGTAATATTTTCTTCAGCCCAGTCCGTACCTGACTGTTTTTAGCCAATGCTTGGCTAAACATTCTGGTTACTCTGGTTTGTACGTTATTCGTAGAGGTATTGAAATTTTTACAAATTTGAGCCATAAGGCGCGAAGCGAAATCACGTAACGCCCAATGATTGTCACCCTCTGGTCTCATACATAATTGCCGCGACACTATACAAGTTGCGATAGACGGTATCAATTCATGCAACTGTAAATTAACACATAACATGGAAAACGTGAACGAACAAAATATTTTTTATACATTACGTAAAACAGAAAGACGAATACGTACGTATTTTTCTAGGTAAAGGCTAGGATTATCCAGAAGAGCTTTAACCATTCGCATAAGATAAATAAGAAGCGCAAGATGATTTTGTACTACATTAACGCGGACACCTTCCGCGATGAAGGTGCACATTCGCGCCAACATTTCATGTAAACCAGGATCAGCAGAAAGCGATTGAAGTGCCTCTGCTCTGCGTGCTTCGTCCGATCCAACACAAGCTTCCGTAATTTCTTTGTAATACAATTGTTGTTCGACGCTCAATTCGTGAGTCGCTAACTGCTTAACATGAACGGTTTCCACATTACGTAATTTCTGACTCTTTCCTCCGCCTCCTGGTTTTCCAACACCGATGTTTTGACTCTTGTTCGATAGTTTACTGGTTGGATCGACACTCTCTAGTTTTTGAACGTCTGTCGTGTAATTTGTCAAAATGTTAGCACCACGAAAAACTAGTCAATTATAGTCCAGTATCGTAATTTAAATTATTTACCTTTAGAGACCGGAGGCGGATTCTCTGGTATCGTCGGTTGAACACCGTCTATACAAAGCCAATGGGCACGCAGCGTAATTTCTAAAGGTAACTTGGGCCACGTTTGTCCACCAGACATAGATATAACTTCATTGAGATCAATTTCTTTTTCTTCTACAAAATGTAGTTCTCGACCACCGCCAGAAGCAAAACGGAACGGTACGTGATCCTTGGCAAAAAATCCATAAGTAGGTTCGATATTCTTAATTTTTAGGGCATGGTCTATATCATGGGTCGTCATACGCTGACGTTTGCCGTGTCTCATGAACTTGGCAGCATCCTAAAAATTGAACGTTAAAATCAGAAAAATTTTTTTGTACGTACAAATATAACACATCCGTTTAAAAATAAACAAACCTGTATAATTTCCTTGAGTCTGTAGCTTACGTCCTCGGCAAGATCTTTAGCAGCTTCGTCAGGGAAATTTCCAACACCTATACTTTCCGCAATTACTTTTATCGATTCCTGAGACAACGTAGTCCCATAAACGGACTCGCTTTCATTCATTCTAAGATTATTTTAATCGTTGCATTCCATACAACATTTTCGAAAAATTTACACCAAGCGAGTCTTCCTTTTCTTGCGTTTACAAATTTTATATTTACGTTATACTTTGCCCCTTAATCTTCATCGTCGTTAGTATTAAACGTGTACATACCGATTAGAAGCGAACTTTCTATACAATATACATATATTTATATACGGCTAAAATTCTTAATCCATGGCGTAACAATCAATTTTTCCCTTTCCTTCAAACCGAAAAGACTGCTATTTCAATAAGTGAAATCTATAATGTTGTGTGTATACTGTAACTGCATTCTTTAAAATCCTAATCTTAAATAAAACTCCAACAACGCAGTCGCTTCGCAACCATTTTTAACCGATCGTAACTACATATTCGTCATTTTGCTTTGTGGGGTCGAGACTTGTTGCAGTCTTGCCCATACTGCAGCTCATGGGACATACGCATGCAGCTTGTGTAAACTCGCCGTAAGGCTGCGCACGCAGCGCAGCATGGCGGAAGCGGGAGCGCGTCCAGTCGGTCGGGTCGGTCCAGCAGTTTCCAGGCTGGAAGTTCCAGGTTCCAGCATCTTTGCTTCACTTGCTATAAAAGACTTGCTAAAAGCCAAGACGCGTAACAGGTGTTATCTAGTAAACGTAGAAAGTGTGTATCTCCTCTTACAATATGTACAAGCCCCAAGCGTATACCACAGACGAGGTATACAATATGTATACATATGTCTATCAGCAATTTCATTTTTGGTCTCACTTCCTCTTGTGGTCATTTTTATAACCTGTTGACAACGTTGCGTGCGATAGGAAAATGGTAATGGGGGTAGAGCTCCAAAGAAATGGTCCCCAAAAATAAATTGAACAGAAAATAAACTTGTCGAGGCCGGTCAGGGTACGCGATAAGACGAAAGGTTCGAATCAGCACCGATTATATTTCTCCTTGTTTCCATCAGGAAAATCTCGTAAATCTACTTGGTAATACTTTCGTGATACATTGAAATTTACATGACAAAATATTTCGATCGATAGAATTACTTATGAATCTCATGATAGATCGAGAAACGGATAGTTCCATAATTATTGGCAATCATTTAATCGGAGATTTTTTGCTACTTTACATCTCTCGTTGCAAATCATTAGTATCGATGCATAAAATTAATTGAAAAATATCACATCGTATTGGTAATTGGTTAGGTAAAATTCCTCTCGCAATATTTTTAATGAAACTTTTGATCGTTTATTTTTACAAGTCAATTACAAGTTATTTACAAGTTATTAGTCAAGAAATTAAAATATAATTTTTCTAGAACTATTTCTTTAACATGATAATTTACAAATTGTAAAAACACGAAAAAAATACATATATACATATCGGCGCGGTGTCTGACTGCCGGCCATTCATTCGATCTGGAGTAGGAGTTGCGCGAATCTGGCTCCACTATGCGTTAGTCCCACGTTTCGTACACAATCTATACATTATTAAAGTCTGTATTCGTCAAACTTCTAAGAATCAAGTACGCCGTACCATAAATATTATTATCACAAGTTATGTTTTAAAAGCACCTGCTCGAGCAGCTTTAATTATAAAATTTTTTACTGTAGTTCCATCTAATTTAGCAAAATTTGGTGTCTGTACCACGGAAGTCATGCGACTCGAAGCAAATGTAAAAGAACATTCCTCTAATTCCTATAAATACATAACGTATCATATATTTTAACAATACTCGGAACTGCGACAAACAACGCATTAAACGTTTTTTACCTTCTCATTGTATTTAATGGCTGTGCTGTAGAAAAACATAACATTCATAACTGTCATTTCTTGTTTTATCATTTGTATACATCGTCTTTTTAGATGATCCTCGGAGTAAGCGTCTGCCAAGTGTAAAAGTTCTAATCGAAAGAAATAAAAACATAAATTTTCAAGGTATAAACGAATTTATGGGCACAGCATTCGTTAGACATTCGTTAAATAAACCTGACCTAAATCTTAAAATTCAAAATCAATTTCTTTTCAAAGGTATATTATTTGATTTTTTTTAAAATATATTCGAGTATGCAATGATCGCAAAAAGAACAGGTATGTTTTACGTATGATTCAAAAATATAAAAATAGATGGATTTCAAATATACCTGTTAGACTCAACAACGAGCGATATAGAGGAAAGTATTTACCTAGCTCGTTTCCTGGAGATAAGACAATTTCGTCGGTGTATAAATATTTCAAGAAAGCTTTATATACATCGTAGGAAAATTGTTCGTGTTTAATAATACTGAAATAAATAGTTGCATTTGTAAAAAAGGAAGAAGAAAAAATACATTTTGAAAAATGTAGACCTACTTTTGATTATTCTCTGTCCAGTGTTCTTGAAACATTGTCCTGAAGTAATGACAACGTATCTTCAAAATAGATTTGTGTACATGAATAACTTTTTCCTGTACTTGAATAGCGAGATCACTGGTGGCCTGCAACACACGGAAAATTTATCTTTGAAAAGTAGGAAAACACGAGTAAATATGTCGCTACATTAAAAAAATTCCTACTGGATCATCGAATGCCTCTTTCAAATCATCTATTAAATTTCCTTCCCAGGTGTTATCAAGAACTAGTGGTCGATGCATGACACTGGGCCATGCATAACGTACACAAGCGTCATGCAAACTTGTTTCATAAGTAAGTGTCGGGTGTTTGATACATTGTCCTAGACACTGGCCCCACATAAATACACGTTTACATTCTCCCATAGCTAAACTTATATTATTATAGGGCGAAGCTGCTATATCTGATATTCTTTCCGTTCCTAACAACTAAAATAATGTTTTATCAATTTCAGTTCATCAGACCTATATCGGTACAATATAAAATTTTACCTTGGTTGGAATCGCCACATTCGAATCCACGCCATTACCTAACTGTCCATAGCTATTCGACCCCCAAACATAAAGGATGCCCTTACTGCTTAATGCCATAGTATGTTTATATCCACAGACTACTTTCTCTAGAAGTACAAATAAATTTTATTAATACGTTCTACATAAATGAAATAATTTATGCGATCGAAAATAGATCTGATTCGATACTACCTATTTTAGTGGGAATCAGTCCTTGGACTATACACGGATATACTCGATCCTCATAATTTCCAACTCCTAACTGTCCAACACCATTGTCACCCCAACTATAAATCTCGCCATTTTCCGTGACCGCTACGCTGGACGAGTCACCGCAAGCGATGCGAACGATTCGGTCGTTAGCTAATGCGAAATTCACTTTTACGGGTACATCCTGATTAATTTTATTACCATTACCTACTTGCCCAGCGTCATTACGACCCCATGCGTACACCTAAATACAAGGATAGAGAATCCCTATTCGATGTTAAACGTACAATTAACATTACTTGAAATCTTTTACCGTACCTCTCCTTCGTTCGTTAGTGCTAAACAATGAGAATTTCCACAGGCTATATCCAAAACAAATTTTTCACTTAGATTTGTTCGCACGAGCGTCGGTTTCGAATTTATAGCGATAGAAACGTAAGCTTCATAGCAATTATCATTATTCAATTTAGACCAATCGTTACATCCCCACGAATACACCTTTCGTGTAATACGTCTTATTAATTTTTAACGCCAAAAATTCGTAAGTTTCATATAAGTACCTGTCCATTCACCGTCAGGGCTAAAACATGAGGACGTCTGCCATACGCAAAGGTTTGAATACCAATTCCGCATAATTCTTTAACTTCTTTTGGGTACAGCGTATCATGATTATCATTAATTCCAAGACACCCATACGAGTTATACCCTACGGCATATACCATTTTATCCTTCGTTACGATTAAAGCTTCGTTACCAAAGGTGCCTATTTCGTGAAAATAAACATTGTTACGCATCACTTAAAATTTAACGAACATCGACGTTTTTTCAGATATACGAGTATGTTATATTACCAAACACAGCTATCATTCTGACGTTCGAAGTAAACGATGGATCTAAGAAAGTTAAAATTGGCCAGTTTCTCACGTTGTACGATATCATTTTTACGTTTCAAATGAAATTTTCAGGTTTAATTTGTTTCGTTCGTTTCTGCTAGAATTAAGGATCACGGTGGTACAATAGGCGACCGGATATAACGATTCCCGTAAAACAGTGGGTCATGACCGTAGTCCTTCACACTTTTAACAATCAGTGTCGGAGAGACGCTTTTTGTAAGCTAGGGATCCCAGAGTGTTTGCAAAATGGACAAACAAGACCTTGACGTAACTCTTGGCCACGCAATACACGAGCCGCCATCTACTATACCACCGTAGTCGGACTCGAAATTCGAATTGTTCGATGCTTCGAGGGCGATCAACGATCAGGCTTTTCTTAGCAACCTTGCGTGCGAGTTAGTGCACAATTATAGTGGAGCGAGAAGGAGAAAGGTGAGTTGAGTTGAGACGACGCAGTCCGCGCAGTCCGCGCAGTCCGCGCAGTAATCCGCTAATTCCGCAGCGGTGTTACACACTTACACCGGTTTGGTTTTGTCGCGACGCTCGGCTCGCCTTGTAGTTATTCCCGTTCCTCGTGCCGCTCTACTATGATCGTATTCTTACACTGTGTAACGCTCTGATAATAATACGTTGTAGTATTCGGTATTATTAAGTAAAAGAAATCGAAGGTAACAATCATTCGTGAAAGTAATTTTACGTAGATTTTTAGGTTATGAATAAATATTATTGTTTACCATCTCAGACCAAGTTTATGCTCAGACCGAAAATGGATGTCTTGGGCATGTTTAGTGCAAATGGCACGTTCGAAAGAAAAATGTTGAGACCTCCGACAAGCCGGAGTCACGTACCAAAGGATATGTCTTTGTTAGACGCACAGTTAAATACAACTGCAAAAACTATAAAGAAAGGAACAGATTACGTTGTAGAATATGTGGAAAAAGAGGAAAAGGAGCTTTTAGAGGTATATTGTTTAGATGAAAAAGTATAGTCGATTTTATTAAAGTTTCTTCCGATTTTAGTTGGCAAAGTATTGCAAAGTAGGAAATGAGAATAATTTCGAAGCAGTATCGCAAGGTACGGTTTCCATGCAAAATGAAAATAACGAAAAGGCAGTTAAGATTTACGAGACCTATAATTTTAACAATTGCCGAAAGACAAATTTAACAATTACTTCCGAAAGAGATAGAATAGTATCTATGATCGAAACTAATTCGGTCGTAGTTATTCAAGGGCCGACGGGTTCCGGGAAGACTACGCAGGTACCACAGTTTATTCTGGATTCCTGCTATAGACAAAGACTTCATTGCAATATCATAGGTATCTTTGGTGTATACATATAGTATTATTATATCAACAGAATAATGTTTAATGTTTAATTAAAGTTTTTCTATCTTTAATTGCTTGATAGTGACGCAGCCTAGACGTATCGCTGCAATCAGCATCGCGAAACAAGTTAGTCGAGAAAGAAATTGGCCATTAGGTACCCTGGTCGGATACCAAGTTGGTCTGATAAATCATACGTGTGAAGAAACCCGTTTAAATTATTGCACTACCGGTGTACTTTTACATAAATTGATTAATTCGAAAAACATGTTGGATTATACGCACATCATACTGGACGAGGTCCACGAGAGGGACCAAGATATGGATTTCCTTCTGCTCGTTGTCCGAAAGTTATTACGTACAAATTCGAGTTCGGTAAAAGTTATTCTAATGTCCGCTACATTCGAAGTGGAAAGATTTGCCAAGTATTTTTCTTCTCCCGTGAGAAACGAACTCGTACCTGCACCTATTGTCGATATCCCAAAGAAGAATTATTTTAACGTAGTCGTATATTATCTTTGCCAAATGAGCGGATTAGGTCCGTTACCCGAAGTCTCCGATACGGAACCAACAGTTTCGAAAAGAATGATTGAATTTTGTGTTAATCTTATAAAAATTCTTGACGATATAGACATGAAAGCCGACGATGCGAATGTTAATTTGGACACAAACGTTTACGAAAGACACGTGATTCTTGTATTTTTACCTGGAATTAATGAAATTGAAGAGACCTATAATTTATTAACGCTACCAAGATACGAAAAAACAAAATGGAACATAACGATTTTGCATTCATTGATTACAAACGAAGAACAACAACAAATATTTGTAAAACCACCGTGCGGTTATCGTCGTATTATCTTATCTACGAATATTGCTGAAAGTAGTATCACCGTTCCGGACGTGAAATATGTAATCGATTTCTGTCTAACGAAACAACTTGTTGTAAATCCGAACACTAATATCCAATGCTTGGAGCTTAGATGGGCAAGCAAAGTAAATTGCGAACAAAGAGCAGGCCGTGCCGGTCGTGTAATGGACGGCAGAGTGTACAGACTGGTGCCACAATCATTTTACGAGAGTGTGCTGCCCCGAGAAGTATCTCCCGAAATGTTGCGGGCACCGCTATCAAATCTGATATTACAATCAAAATTACTAGACATGGGAGAACCCAAAGCCATTTTAGCACTTTCTCTCGATCCACCGGATCTCGAAAATTTGGAAAGTACAGTATTGTTATTAAAAGAAGCAGGCGCATTGATCGACAAGAGCAACGAAATACAACGTCACGATGGAGAACTAACAGATCTTGGTCGGATCATGGCCAATTTGCCATTAGATATTCACGTAACAAAATTAATTATGTTGGGTCATGTGTTTAGCGTGTTGAAAGATACGATTATTATCGCAGCTAGTCTAACCGTAAAAGATATGTTCCACAGTTCCTTCAGACAGAAATTATTGTCATATAATTATAGATTCACTTGGGCGAATCGGTCTTGGAGCGATTGCATAGCTTTCCTGACCGTGTACAAGGTATGGGTCGGCGAAAAGACCAGTCGAAGTATAACCAGCGACGCTGCAGAAAAGAAATGGGCGACGAAAAATTTTTTACAGATAAGAGTGTTACGCGAAATCAAAGCTCTGGTGTCAGAATTAACCAGTAGATTGGAAAGACTGGGTATACGAGAAAGTGCCGGTGTCAATAAAGTTGTTTGGAAAGAAACGGAACGTTCGGTTGTTTTAAAAATCGCAATTGCCGGTGCATTTTACCCGAACTACTTTATCAAACATGGACCCAAAGAAGAAGCCGATGAACAGGTCGGAGTGAAATTATTAGGCGGTTTGGATCCATCCAACACCGTTTATATACAAGGATGGCCTTTAAAACAACCTGGAATTTTGTACGCTCGCAGAATCGAAAATATTTTTAAAAAAAATGTGACATCGAACGTTGAAAAAATCAAAGTATCTTTCGATTCTTCCTCTCGAATATACGTTCAGTTTATCGAAAGAAGAATGTCGAAAAACGAAAACGACGATACATTGAGAAATATATCGTCGTCCGTTTACAAAGCCATTAGAATGAGACAGTGTAATATTCCCTTAGAGATACCTATTTTGAACGATCACGTAGCCGTTCGACGAGTCGAGGAAATGAACTTGAAGGAAACATCGTTTTTCACTCGTGAAAAGTTTATGAAAGACAGCATCAGACCTCGGTTACCGGCTTTACGAGAGTCTCGCATTCCTGTAGCAGTTCAAAACGTACGGATGATTTGAAAATAAATTTCACTTTAATGTTTGTTTCGTATCGTTAAATAATAACTCGAATTTTCAGGTTATCGATCCTGGCTGTTTTTGGATACAAATTCGTGACTATAAAGTAAAAGGAGAACTAGAGAGAATACAATCGGTTATCAAAAGAACGAAACACTACTTGCATCAACTCGCTACAGCTCCAGAAATCGGTTCGCTTGTAATCGCACCGTACGAACAAAATAATTGCACGCTATATTGTCGCGCGGTAGTGAAAAGTCATATAACATATCCAGAAATATTGGTACAAGTATTTTGTATCGATTATGGTTATTCGACCGAATGTCGGTTACGCGATTTAATACGTCTCGACTGTGACAGTGATATCGCGAATATTCCGGCACTAGCCATCGAATGCGTATTGGCGAACGTCCGATCGTCCGTAGCGTACAATTCGCGCGACAGTTGGCCCGCAACCGCGTGCGATTTCTTCCAGACGTTGATCAATAAGCCTGGTTTACTATTCGGTGATATCTATTCCGTCGTTAACGGTGTCGTCGCATTGGAATTAATCCATAGACGCAAAGACGAAGAAGAAGAGATCATTATAAATAAATGTCTGATCGACGAAGGGTTTGCGAAAAATAAAGAAGAAAACTGTTTTTCACAGTTTAATCATAATTTACGATCGCAAGAATCGAACTTGTCGGACGAACAGTGTCGGCAGTATGAAAAATTACAACACGATATACCGGACGTTTACCCGGAACCCCCCGATAGTTCCGAATGTTATACGACGATAAATTTGCGAGGGCCATTTTCACCGTTGGAAATTGAATTGAAACATCTCGTTACGGCCGCGAGAGACAAGACAGCACGCATAGCTATAAATTCTGTGAACTCTGTTCTGCTGGACACCGATTTGGAAGATCCAAATCAGCGACTTTTAGTAGCAACATCGGTTTCCCAGAATGTACACGGCAATAAATTGACGCTATACAATACAACGTTAATGCCGCGTCTTCCAGGCTTGACAGCCTTGATCACATTGATTTTCACTCCGTGTATGGAATTACGACGCAACACATTAGGAACTCGTTACGTTGGTGCTTTATGCGGTTTGGGATTCGATCCTGTTACAAAAGAAAGCATTTTCCCGGAGCATGACATACAACTTGAATTCGACGCCGAAATTACCATCGAGGATCTACAATACGTGAGGATATTTCTTAAAGCATGCCTTTCCTTTTCTTTACACGCGTATCGATAATATTCTTCTTTTATGGCCTTGTCAGGTGAACAGACTACGTCATTGGATGAATATCGGAATGCAAATTAATCATCACCCTGAAATCAACGATAACAGGGAAGAAAACAGTATCTGTCAAAATAGAATAAAAGATGCGTTATTAAAACTGATCGAAAAGCCAAGAAAATCTCAAAGCTCGGAATTAATTCAGAATTTTAATAGATGGAATCTATACGACGAGTCTTTGCATTTACTACCTGGTAGACTGTTTATGATCGCTAATAACATATATAGGTTACACAACGCATTGGAATTGGAAGAAATGACTCCGGAGCTAGAAATGACGGAACACCTGAGAACCTTACGATCTTTAATAACCGAGTAAGTAAATTATTAAAATCGTGTATCACGTGTGTCGGGTTCATTGTTCTCAATTAATGCATATTTTGTTTTTAATGCAACAGAGACCCAAGAAAACCTGAGAATGCTAACATTCCTTGCAAACTGTGCGAAATTACGTTAAACAATATTGTCGAGCTTCGCGGTCATTTGTTCACAGCGCAACATAAGGAAAAAGAAGAACGATTAAGAATTCAAGTTTGAAACGATACGATACGACGATGCAGTACGACGCGTACAGTGCCAAAGACAGTATTAATATTTAGTATATAATATTTTATAGAGTCGAGAAACGTGCGATTCGCAATAAAGTTTTGTTACGTTTATTTTTTTATATGTATATCATGTTTGGTGAAAATAATAAATCATTATGCACAAGGTAACGGTACGTTTTCTTTTTAATTTTGATATTCAATTAACGATTTCGTTGTCTAATTTTACAAATTTGTTATAATCGACGTTGTTTCGTCGATCGCATAACATCCGTTGCGCGCGTGTGTGTGTGTGTGTGTGTGTTTATTAAAAAATAAAAGAAAAAAAAAGATATATATGTATATGTATAAATAAAAATAGCGATATATAATAGCTACTATCAACTACTGCTAACTACTACGATTACGGATCGGGGTTAACATCACATAATAAATGAATTTTGTACAATGGTTGCGCGTGGCGCTGATAATTGAAACGTGTTTCGATACCGTAGTACGCTCGTTACTGTAGAATAGAAATTGTATATACAAATAACGCGTTTAGTTGGATTAAGCAAACGTCGATCAGTGTTCTAAACTTCTCTTTGTAGATATCTTGTTCCCGGTTGAGTGTACAACAATCGTCCAGGAATGTTAGCACCAGAAGCACTGACGTAAGTACCTGGCGGCGGTGGCGGGTATGGAACAGGCGGTGGTTGTGGCGCTCTGACTGGATATCCTGACGTAATTCCTCCCGTTTTTGCACCCTTTTATGCGATTACTCTTAGGAATGTTATATCATGTAAATACGATAATATAAATGTCCAATAAATACCTGCGGTGGTTGTTGAATCGGAATAGCTCCACCGTGAACGGTAACGTGGCTACTGGGCCGTAAATAAAATTTATCTTCCGCGTAAGCACCTTTGTGTTCCAACGTGTGTAAACTCGTCACGTAAGCTAACGCATGGAGAATTATTGTAACGGTTTTGTAATTCGAACTGTATAAAAGTAAAATATTTATATGGAAATTTGTTTAATATACCAGTTTGATGCGTTGACAACGTTGCTCTGTTTCCAGAGAGATACACAGATTTAGCAGGCTCAGGATCCCGCGACGATTGCGAGGTCGACGCGGAGTAACCATACATACTTTGACCCGTAGGTGCAGAGTAAAAATTGGAAGCAGAGTATTGATTATTTTCTGTAAAAAAAAAAAAAAAAAAAAAAAATAAAAAACAAGCAACGATGAAATTAACAGCGGGGAAAAATGCGTACGCTATCGATAACGGCTCTTGAAAGCACAAGTATGGAAATTAAAGGTTTATTCACTCACTGTTCCAAAGAACGGCTCGAGAATCTCCAGATCTTCTAGCTGCTTCCTCGGATTCTACGGAAACAAATATCTACGTTTAATACCAATTTTCAAAGTTCTTTCTTTACGAATACATTACTTTCGGCATAAAAGTACAATTGCCATACGCCCGTGTACGTACTGGAAGGCGGAGGATTGTAGCTCGGGATCGACGGTGAAGGCTTATATCCATAACCGGTATGATAGGGGGAGGCTGTCGGAGGCGGCGAAGGACTATGCGTTCTCTTTAACAGCCCCTGATAAAACGTACAATTGTAAAGTAATATAATCATTAGCATAAAGAAAGAACATATACTTACGCTGGATAACAAAGTATGAGTCGGCGCGCCAACCGCAACTTTGTAAAGAGGACTACTGCTTCGTGGTAACGGGAGAAATACTTGCGGATGCACTACTCTAGGACCAGTTCCAGGATAACCCCCTACCGCCGTTAAAACTTCGGAACATACGCTGCATAACGTAAATATCAGATAGATATACATCATCGAAGCTTATACGTAATCTTTTTTTAAAAAACGTTATACAAACTTTGTTTCTTTGATCAATTGTCGTCTTCTATCGTCTTCGTTTAAAACTTTTTTTAATTGCAGGAACAACTGATGTTTCTCATCTTTTAATTGCGACAGCTCGTTTTCCAGATTCGATATTTGTTCTCTAGTTTCGCCTAAAGTCATTACGTCTTGTTTCTGTTGGCGTTCTCTCTCTTTTCTTAATCGTTCCTCCTCTGCATCTGCTTCTTGTTCTATGCGTTCACGATAAAATAAAAACCGTTGAATAACAATTTCAATATCCTTTTATAACAGCATGGTAAGAAACTCTTTCTCCTTTAATACGGTATATATTTTCGGTGAATAAATAAAAAAAACTGAAACTGAAACATTCGATACGCATCAACTTAAACGTAATGCACAAAAGAGGTTACCTTGTTTCTTTCGTTGTCGTTCTCTCGTAATGTGGGCTTTTAACGCCTGTCGCATCTGTTCGCTACGCTGAGGAGGGCCGACAATTACCGCCGGCATTTTTTAACCGATATTTCTTTAATTTTAACACGACAGAAGTCTGAAAAGTTGAAACCACTTTGGTACGGTCCGACGTCGTACGTTGAAACACGCTATGCCGATATTATGCATCGAGGCACGCAACTAGCTCCGACGCACCGTCGACGTGGATAAACTTGTGTTAACTATCTTTCTGTTAAAGATATAAATTAAATATGGTAAAACGGGCCGTATAATAAAACCGAAATTAAACTTTTCCAAATAACTAAACCAATGCCTAGAGCCAAATCCCCTAGTACACCGTGGCCACTATTTCGGCGACTGGCATCGGCGGGAGTGTAGGGTGTTGCGCGTCCGGCGGCGAATTTCCGATCCTCCGTAGGGAATTCGGCGGGGAACGCTGCCCGTGGAGTGCTAAGGCACTCTGCTCCTTGGACGCGGGAGTTTCAAACGAAGATCGCTAGATAAGGAAAATAATAAATGGATACAACGATTTGAACACACGTAAATAGAACTTTAATTATTCAATAAAAGAATATAAAACAAAACAACCAAGATTTCGCAGGAATCTTGTAACCCTTTCGTACACTTCCGCTCTCTTAATTCAAGATTGCTTCTCTCGTTGCCGATTCAACTCTATTAACTAACTCAAAATAATACAAGTACGATCTCGCTTAAGTTACAATGATACGTCCGTTCACTTTCGATCTCCGGATTCAAGTGAAGTCGCTCTGCCGTTCGGTCGAGGCCCAGCCCACACGTAGGCCCCTCCAGATCGTCCTTTCCTTTATTCGGCCCGGGCGCAAAACTCTCGCACGCGCGTTCCTCGGCACACCCCCGATCCCTCGAGAACGGTCCACTGTAGCACGTGGCCGTTATCGGCTTTCCCACGCAGCCCGTTTCCGGCTATCGATAGCGCACGGCCCAAGTTCCAGGAATTACACACTTAGGAGAAGGGATCAAAGGGGAGCTCACGACGATCTAAACATCCGTCTCCAATAAATTATTGGCTAATCTATTTCCCGAAGTGAAATCATTAACCTCTTTTAATCCGTAGAATTGGCGCGGGCTCCACCCTGTCTCCCTTTCCTATTACATTCGTGTAATCTATTCAAACCTCGCGCCCCCCAGAGCTTCTGCTACACGGCGCCAGGCGACGACCACAACAAGGGAGCATGAGTAACTCCCTAGTTACTCCCGCAGATGGCGCGATTGGCGCCGATGCCAACCGTTGAGAGAGGCCGGGATGCTATAGGGAATTTGTCCCTAGGTACTCCCTGGGGCCTCGAGAGACAAGAGAGAATCAGAGGAGGTCTTCCCCGAGCAAGCCTGAGAGACGGTCCAATAATATTATGTGTTTTGATGTATTCATGTATCACTGTTACGTTAATGATTTCAGTTAGTGCATCATTAAAGAATACCCGTGTAAGCCGAGGTAAGATTTTTGGAATTAAATTTATTTTTAATCAGAATTTAGTGATTCGAAGGAATGGTTTCTACCATAAAATGCTCATAAAAGCTGTTAAATTTCTTTATCGATTTACCCCATGTATAATGTTTTTCGAAGAATCCACCAAACTTTTTGATGCAATCCGAGTTACGGACGTACGCGACGCCGAGGGTGGTATCGCCACCAGAAGATTCTTTAGCGGAAAGGTAAACTTAAATAAAGTGCGAATAGAAAATGTTAATACTAATTACAAAAATGATCGCTAATTGTTCCGAACATATGTATTTTAGAGAAAGTCTCATCGATCATTTACAGCAAGAAAATAGTCGCCAGAGACAAGAATCGCATCGTCTACCGATGGATCATCAACGAATCACGGAAGAGCTTCAGAGTCTTGTCATGCAACTTGAGTCGGGTTTGCTTATTAAGGTAAAAACGTTTTAATTAATCATTAACATTATGGTTTAGAAAAACAGTCTATGTAACAAGTTGTTTTTATTTTTTAGCGCAATGAAATTGAAGAAGAAAAACAGGTAAATGAGGACTCTCTAAAACAAAAAGCAGACACGATGGCGAAAGTTGATGAAAGCGAAGGTTGGTGCATACATACGCGTACATTTATATCGCAATCTAATATAACTTGTCTGTTATGTTTTTGTAGAAAAGTATAAAGTTTTGGAAGAGAAATTTGAGAAATTGAAAGATGTATATGGAAAATGAAGAGAAGAAGATATCAGTTTAATCAGGAAGGTAGGAATATTGTAATTTTCATAGTTTTTAATATCATAAGAAAATATTGATGCTCGTTACGTGTATCCTCGTATGTAACAGAAAGCCGAAGTGGAGAAACAAATTGGGTTATTAAAAATGTGAGAAGAAAAATCGGAACGTCGAACCGTTTTTAGCGGAACGCCGACTGGACGAGTTAATAGAAGGTGAAGATATAACTGAACAGGAAGCTCGAAAAGCTATCGAAGGACAAGAGGATTTGGACGATATAAAAGAAGAAGTAAATACCACGAAAGGTGAAAATTTGGTTAATACCTTTCTTTTACTAGATTTACGGTTATATTTTATTTTTATTTCGTTCCGGTAAAAGTGTAATATTTTAGGCGTTGATTGGCAAAAATGATTTTATAACTTGTAAAAAAACGGCTTTAGGGTCAAAATAGACCCGCAGAACAGGGTCAAAACAGACCCGTAGAAAGGGGTCAAAGCAGACCCGTAGAACAGGGTCAAAGCAGACCCGCAGAACAGGGTCAAAGCAGACCCGCAGAACAGGGTCGAAGCAAACCCGCAGAACAGGGTCAAAACAGACCCGTAGAACAGGGTCAAAGCAGACCCGTAGAACAGGGTCCAAGCAGACCCGCAGAGCAGGGTCGAAACAGACCCGCAGAACAGGGGCAAAACAGACCCGTAGAACAGGGTCACAATAGACCCGTAGAACAGGGTCACAATAGACCCGTAGAACAGGGTCGCAATAGACCCGTAGAAGAGGGTCAAAACAGACCCACAGAACAGGGTCAAAACAGACCCGTAGAACAGGGTCAAAAGAGACCCGTTGTAAGGGGTCAGAACAGACCCGTAGAATAGAATAGACCCGCAGAACAGGGTCAAAATAGACCCGTTGTAAAGGGTCAAAACAGACCCGTAGAATAGAATAGACCCGCAGAACAGGGTCAAAAGAGACCCGTTGTAAAGGGTCAGAACAGACCCGTAGAATAGAATAGACCCGCAGAACAGGGTCAAAATAGACCCGTTGTAAAGGGTCAAAACAGACCCGTAGAATAGAATAGACCCGCAGAACAGGGTCAAAAGAGACCCGTTGTAAAGGGTCAGAACAGACCCGTAGAATAGAATAGACCCGCAGAACAGGGTCAAAAGAGACCCATTGTAAAGGGTCAAAACAGACCCGTAGAGTAGGGTCAAAATTGACCCGAGACTAACTAACTACTTCCTGATTTCTTATCTAAAATAGTCACTTTTGGATATCAGGTAATATCAGATTTTGTAAATCAGGTAATGAAGTAACATAATTAAATCGAAATCAAGGGATAAAATAATAGTAAAACAGTGAAATCACACAACAGGATGTAACCAGGAAAAGATAGTAGTAGTAGTAGAAATAGTATCTGCAATCGGCCGTATATAAATGTAACAAATAGACTACGATATAATACAAGTCACATTTATTTTCTCTCATTAAGATTCAGGCCAGGATTCTTTATCGTTATACAGTTTACTGATATGGAAACGCTTTCGTCTTTCTCACTAATAAAATATTATATAATATAATAATAGCATATACTTAACACTCCATAGTTTTACAGTTATACTCCACAGCTTAGGGCTCTTTCTACATTTACATGTACTTGTCACTAAAGATACGGGATATGCTAAAACAAACACCACTCTACAGTCTAGTCTATTTCATCTTACCTTATTTTATTCTATTTCAATATTTCTTCTAGTCTTTCTTATTTTTCATTTTATTGTACTTTATTTTATATATTTTACTATACAGTTTCCCCTATTTTTATTTTATACTTTATTTTTAAGTAAACCTGATACTATAACAAAATTGGTAGTACCTTTTCTTTCATCTATTTTGATTTTATGTTTACATATTATATTTGAATTCATGCTGGAGCAGATGAATCATCTTCCAAACTTGTGCTGCTGTCACTATACCTATCTCTTCTTCCTGTAGCCTCCATTGCAGCTATAATCTCCTTGCATGGAGACATACACTCCATTTTCCTCGAGTTTAAAGAACAGGGTCAAAACAGACCCGTAGAATAGAATAGACCCGCAGAACAGGGTCAAAACAGACCCGCAGAACAGGGTCAAAACAGACCCGCAGAACAGGGTCAAAACAGACCCGTAGAAAAGGGTCAAAATAGACCCGAGACTAAATAACTATTTCCTGATTTCTTATCTATTTTTATTTCGTTCCGGTAGAAGTGTAATATTTTAGGCGTTGATTGGGAAAAATGATTTTCTAACTTGTAAAAAAACGGCTTTAGAAGGCGATCTACATGATTTATTAGCGGAGAAAGAAGAATTAGATTTAAAGATGGAAAAATTGGAAGTTGAAGGTGAACGGTGCCGTAATGAAAGGAATATGCATGCCGATACCATGTTGTATGAATTATTGCGTAAGTATTTAAATTTATTCGATAATAAAATGGTGAATGGTTTATGTTGATATCTCTGATAGAAAGGTGTATTTTTATTTCAGTAAATTGCATCTCCGAAGCAGAAGATATTATCGAATATTCATTAAACGGTATCGATAATCCAGCGATGTCAGACCTAACTTGTACTCCTCAATACTCATTAAAAGTGCAATACACGTTGCATATGTTTTGGGTCTTTATTCAATACATGGAAAATCTACATGAAACACATCTATTGATATTGCATCGGGCGATAGTAAGTTACGAAAGTTAAAAAATGTAGAAAAAAAAAAATGAAGAAAGTCATATATATTATTTTGAATTTTATCGTGTTGTAGAATCGACCGACGAATGTAAACAGTTGGGAGTTGGAAGTTTGGTAGAGGCAGAATTGTTAAGTATGGATAAAGCAATAGAAGAAGCTGGTAATCGAATACAGGTAATCGCATATTACATTTTAGTGTAATATATAAATTGTTTTTATCCATGGTTATGACATATTTTATGATCAGGACATGGTGGAGAAATCTCGCGCTGGTGATTCCGGGTTAAAATTAGAAGTGAACGGAAAAATGTTAGATTCATGTACAGAATTAATGGAAGAAGGAAAGGTACGTCGCTTATTTTGACCGTTAATATTTAATTTATGAATATTAAA